GACACTGCTGGGGTCGTCCCGGACCTTGTTACCTTCCGTGGCAGTCCTGTGTCCACCCCAGCCCCCGTCTCGGAGGATGGCAGGTCCGGACCAAAGAAAGCCCGATCGAACTCATCTCTGGGGTTCGCACCACAAGTCCTCGGAATAAGAGGGCGTGGCACTGAGGCTGACCGTGTATCCGGTCGAGAGAGAGACAGAGAGATGCTGCTGATGCTGCTGCTGATGAGATGAGACGGAAGATGGATTGGTCGCAGTTCATCCCAGCAGGGTAATCACGCCGCGCCGTGCTGCGGTAGGCTGGTTGGGCGTGATGAATTGGCGTATTAGCCCCGTGCAGAAAGAGTTTGCTAGCCAATGCACGGACTCGCAGCCTCTTATCTTCATGCGGCTCCAGCGCAGATAGTGTCCCGACATGCCGTGGCTCATTCGCCCGCGGAGTGCCACCGCAGAGCTTGGCCGTCGCGCGCTGGCTTGGAGTGCGGATGGTAAGCAGCAGAAAGCTTATCCGCGCAGAGGGACGCGTCAATCAGTGCTCCGGACGTCGCAATGGACTCAGGGTCGTCCTCAGGACAGAGAAACCTCTTTGACTTGTGGCTCACTCGTCCGCGGAGTGCGATGCAGAGCTTGGCGGTCGCCTTGGCTTGGAGTGCGGATGGAAGCAGAGCAAGCTCACCCTTCAGAGGACGCGTCAATCAGTGCTTGGGACATCGGGCGCGTCCTCCTGGACAGAGAAAACCTCTTTGAGTTCCAGATCCGAAGCACACTGAACGACGTCGTGTGGCAGATGAGAAGATCAATCTCCACCGTTCCGAGACCGCGAGCCGGTCGGGCCTGAGGTCAGTGAGGATAGTGACTGTAAGTATGATGGTGGCGAGACTCTGCTGTCGGGAGTCTACACTCTAGATTTTTTCGATTCCAGCAGTCAAGCTGACGAGACTCTCTGCTGCACGACGTGCCTGGTGGTGCTGATCTAAAAGAGAGCTAGACCGCCAAGCGGGAGGTGTCAGAAAAGATGATCGACCGAGGCCCAGATGCTGATGTGGAAGCAAACAAGCGCCAAACAAGGGTCAAGTTGGATTCTCAGGCTCGATGGATTTTTGGCGAGCAAGATATGCTTTTCGCAGACGATGAGATCATATTCTTCGAGTTGTCGAGCAGCGGAAGGCTGTCGAACAGAGTGTGGATTAATGGCAGCGCGACTTCTCGACTATATTACATACAAGGAATGAAAGGTTAAAGAGCTACCTCGACCCCTGCCGTCACAAAAAGCAAGAGCGCGGTAGTCTGCGCACTGGAATCGGGGCGCGTGGCCCCGGGGGCTCAGAAGCACGCTCTTTCAACCAGACGCGCGGAAGAAGTCGGGCCTGCGAGTCGAAGCTGGCACTGGACCGGGCTCCTGCAGCTGTTGCGTCCAGCAGGCCCGAAAGAGGGCGCGCGCAGGCTGCAAGATCAAAGCCCAGTTCGATCTGGCGCGTGCGATTGCGGATACGCGGGCCTACCGAGGGGCTCCACCGCCAGCTCCGACGGCGAAGTACACCTCAGAAAGGGCCGCTGACTCTTATTGGGGCTAGTCATTGGTGCTCACCGAGTCCACTGCGGCGATACACGTACCTCAGGTGAGCTGTATAGAGGCCGGGGGAGATCTCCTCGAGGGCTGAGTTTGAACCTGCATTGGGCAACCACGAGGACTTTTGGCGCGTGTCCTAGCGCCTCGTGAATCTTTTTTTTTTTGCTGCTGCTGATAGTCGTCATGTTGCAACCGCTCCCGATGGATGGACGACCAGAAAAATCCGAGCCTCACCGCACGGACAGTGGACAGAAGTCCAGGGCCCGTCGGATATCCCAGAGAATGGCGTGCGTCAGCGAGGCGGGCCATCATATGCAATTGGACGGGATTCCGCGTCCAGGTCGGCTTCTGTCGCGCGACGTCTGTGTGAATTTCAGGGGCACGCATGCGCAGATGATCGCATCGTATATTCCGTGCACCGTACAGTGGAAAAAGTCACCCAGAATGGGATTGAGCCCGAGGTCGAATCTGGAATTTCAGGAGAAAGAAGTGAACATGTGACCGTCACAAGTTTGTTGTCAGCGTTACAGTGAATTTCCACGACCCTCACAGGAGACGTGGGATTCACTTTTTTGCGTGCTACGCAAGGAGTGCCCTGGCGCTTATCTCATCTCATCTCGACGGATCTTAGCTTGAAGGATAAGCAACTGTCGGCGGTCGTGATTGTGCTGCCACCGCAGTAAAGTCACTCGCTGCTCCGCTTTGGTGCAGGAAGGGGCGCGGTGGTTTGGTTGGTCGCGCAGCAAGGCGCGTGCATAACGGCATAGGAGCGAAGAAGAAGCCAGGATCGCGGGCCATCGAAGAAGTGTCCCCGAAGCCGCTGCCATCATTTCATTTGCCTGCGACTAACAGGAATCTTCACTCGTTCCACGGGAGAACGCGCGAAAAAACCTCCGAATTCTCGGGCGAATGTTGCGGTTCGACGTGCCCAGGTCGAGTGATCCCATGTCCCGAAACTTTGTGCATTGCGATGACCGAGCACCCAGACCGTAGCAAGAAGGGCTCTTCGCTCCCAGCCCCTGCCAGTTTTCTTCCACGCGGCGCATCGGATGCTCAGCCCGTAGCTCTGCGGCTGGGACAGCTTGATCTTGAACTGGCTCTGGGCGATGCTGGCCCGGCTCACTTGATCACCCCGCCGGGCCATTGCCGCGGAACATATCGCAGGCACTGCTCGTTCATTTGCCAGCATTTTGCTTTCGCTGGTGACGGTGCATCATAAAACTCTTCTCGTGCTGGTCTCTGTCGGGTCTCCCCGTGCTTACGGTAGGATCTTCCTGTTCGGTGATTGTGCTTCGACAGGAGGAGGGATGTCGGATGGCTGGCTCCTCGGCTTTGGCTGGTTGCAACAAAGTTTATCTGGTTGCCCACCCGAAGGGTATGTTTTTAGCCAGGGCAGATCAGCAGCGCGCGCCGGCCGATGTGATTGCACGAGGCCTCCAGGAGGATTTCTTACCCAATGTTCCTCGACCCATGGCTTTTTTCTCGAGATGGGCTGCGGTGTATCGTGCGACGTCTGTCCACGTAAACAGTCGGAGGACCGGCGCGAGGGCTGGGTTCTGGCGGCCAAGCCAGAAGGGAAGGCGCGCCGCGAACGCTATCTCGCAGCTTATTTCTCGGTTCCTGGGTCCTCGTTCGGGGTTTTTGGCTGGCTGAACGCATTTTCTGACGTGCGTTTCGAGCCACGCTGGGATCGAAGAAGATCTGCTCATTCCTCACCATTTCCGCGGCTGTGTTCTGCTCCATCACGGCTCGCTGTGACACGCCTGTCCTCGATGTCCGCCGTCGAGGCAGCTGCTGGCCACCTACTCGCGCAGATTCGCAGCCGATCTCGGAGATCTGCACGGAACTCTGCCCGTTTGTTTTCAGCTGCAGAACACAAGTCACGACCCGGTCGCGTTCTAAAAACGGCCGTGTCAAAGAAGGCGGCGTGAAGCGGATCCAATCGAGAAGACCCGTGGGTATGTAAGCGATCTAGATTTCATCACTGCAACTCCTTGCAGATGCGATGGGCACCACGCCCGTCACGCTCAACCGATTGCGTAGTATAAAGTCCTAATGCTCCGCTAACGTCCTCGCAAATCTTTTTGCATTTCCGGTGGCGCTATGTCTCACTACTCATCCAAGCGTAATCTCCCCGCTTCTGCTCCCAGCACGAGTTCAACATACCATGCCTCTTACAACACAGCGCCTCGCGCTTGGCCCGCCGACTCCGCCGCCCCGTCATCACTGTCCACCCACCCATATATCCCAACCCCAGCCTCGTTCGTTCCCTCCTGGAGTGCTGTAAATTTTTCTAGCCTCGCCACCAGCTCTTACCCATCGCCTGTCCCCGACTATGGGTCTCGCAGAGATATTCCCTCCCCTCCCTATTCTTTCGAATCGCTCTATCCCTCCTCGTTCACGCGCCCTGCATCGACAGTCTCGGACGCGTACTCTGCCCAGCCATCCACTCCGTATGACGTGAGCGGTGGCACTGCTTCTCCCGCGTCGTCTATCGCTCCATCCTCTCCGCCCCCGATCCCTTACCTCTCATTACCGGACCTGCCGGCCATCAAGCAGGAGCAGCCTGACGATGACGGTTTCATCGTAGACCTCGTGCCTGCCCCGGCCCGCAGATATATGCACCCCCAACTGAGGTTCCTCTGCGGGCCAGCCAGGCCAGTCCGCGGATGCGCAGCATGATGAACGTCTTCCGATTGAACCCCTTTGCTATTCATGCCGACGGCGGACGCGGTGTCCTTGCGCCGTGGACGAGAGGAGAGGCGCACGCGCTGGACGAGGAGCCGCAGACGTTCGAGTTTCAGGTCCAGCTCGATGCGCCTCTGTTCGACGCCACCGACAGCGACTCTGACAGCGGTCTGTTCAGATCTCCTGCGGCAAAACGCGAGCCGGAGCTCGACACAACGGGTCTGCGTTCCTTCTCACCTGACTTTGAGCTCGACGTGGACTACGCTCACCCCGTTCACCACGACGAATCGGGTTTCCATGCGCACCATCGCCGAACGTCGGACGATGCAGAGTCGAGTTGGGAGCTGGGATACCCGGAGCCGTCGCCAACATACGAGCCTCTTTCGACATACCATCGACCCTTTCCACAGCTATCGAATTATAGCGTGAGCTCTCCTATTACCGCTTCGCCACGCGTTGCTGATTGCTATCCAGGTCTATCCTCACATGGACCAATCTGATCACCGCCATGCTCGACAGGCTGCGGCCCCTCGGCGGTGGTCACATCCAACGCAAGAAGCATTCTTCATGTAGCTTTATGTTTATGTCTCTCTCTTCCATGTGGATTCTGTAACCGGTCGGTAGCCTTTTGACATATGTTTTCATACCGTTTGTTGTACCAGTAGATGTCCGTCGCCCGGGCGGCGGAGACTTGGATCCGTGTAGCGGGCGGACATACCGCCCGCATATTTGTATCCATTATCGTGCGTTTGCAGCGCAGAGACGGGGGTGGGGAAAACCTGGCGCCAGCTTATGTCCGAGGCGCGTCGACTTCGCTGGCTCCGATGCACACGGCGAGCTTCGCCTCCGGAAATGACAGCGCCGGTCGTGCATGCACAGCCGCAGGATTCCTGGCGAGCATGAAGCGTGTCTGATTCGTGCAGTGGCGGGGCTGCCCCGACGCGTGCGAGGCCTCTCGTAACGGTGGCACTGTATAAAGATTAGAACCCGCCCCGGAAGTAACGTTAAAAGTGTATCGCCCCGCCCGCAGCTCCACGTCCGCCCCAGGAACCCCGGACCGTAGTGCGCCCAGCCGCTTCTGAATCATCTTTGGTCCCTGGCTCAACACTTTGCAATCCCGCGGTCAGGACCCTGATCAGTCCTTGCGATCTCGGGTCAGGAGATGAAGCACCCCCAGTTGTACCTGGCCAATGCCTACCAGCATGATGGTGTTTGGATCGGAGAATTCTCTGCATTGAATCGTATGGTGGCCAGACTGGAACTATATTGTGGTCAAACTGGAACTAGTTGATAAGATCGTCCCACTCGTTGATAGACCTAGTAGTAGAGACAGCTCGTTACCGCGACGCGTGACGTCATCGACGGCGCGACGGTCACGCTCCGATGATACCATCACGACGTGGTCACTCTCTCTGATCTCGATTTTAATCTTCACGCTCGCAGGCCAATCGCTCATCGCAGGTCGCACAACAAACATCCATTGCCTCAAAACCAAAGCAAATTTTGTCTATCAATCATGCTCGGGAATTCGTCGCTCCCATCGTTCTCGCTGCAAGAAGCCTATCGCGCGGCATGGGCTGCTGACCTGACCTCGGGCAGATCTCGTACCTTTTTGCAGTTTAGACTCCGCGCTGTGGACGTCTTTGGTCTTACTGTCTATCTCGATGACAAGCCAAGTCCCCTTCCCACAACCATATGCGCATCTTGCCAGCTCCCACGGAACCTCAAGTCTTCCGCATGCGATCGCACGTTCGGCACGATTCGTCCTGGCGCGGGCTGCGGATCAAACTCTTGTGCTCTCGCCTCGTGATTAGGGGACAACAGCTATCTCTCGAGGAACGCAGAGGCGTTGTGCCGCGGGGCTCTGTAACGTAATTGCTGGTGACAGACGTGGCAGCTACACAGTTCCATCCACCCAAAAGCGTGATGCTTGAGACGATGGTGCTGCTCGCGGATCTCAATCTTTCGTTGCTTTTGAACTGGCGGACTCACGTGTGTACCACTTACCGACTTGTTGTCGTTCTGCTTGTTTTTGAAACTGTCCGCAGTCTTCACATGAGCAGCACTCGGGCTAATGCATAATGGCCCAGGGTCGCAGGTATCGCGGTGCCGCACAGACCAAATCGATTGCTTGCGCGTGTTCCAGAAGTGTTCGCCGTTCGACACGTTCACTCTGCACTGCACAGACAACCTTCGATTCCGTGCCAGGCCAGTGGGTTTGAGTGACTGTATCTTGATGCTGGCTCATTCTTGTCAGGCAGGTAGCGCCTCTTTCTGGAAAGAAACTCTTCCAGGTCGTGGGGTGTGCAAGCCAGGACTTTGTCAAGGAGCCTCCGACTTCAACGGAGTCTTTGCGATCATCTTCCGGAGAACATCATGGGTAACTTCGACTGCGTCACATCGATGGCTGTCGGCTCGGATCGCTTTGATGTCTCATTCAACATGTCCACTGAACAGGAGTCCAGTGCGCTGACGGACACCAGCTGACTCCTTCATGTGTTGATCTCAGGATTCCTACTGGTTGCGTGTCCTTGCTGAGCGGGGTCCATATCAAGAACAGATGCCATCTCGCTGCTTACACGCCCGTTTGCACTTCCGGCATCAAAGGAAACAAGCACGATCCCTCTTGGAAGCTTGTGCGAGAAGCCAGAATGAAGGTAGTGAACGACGGAGGGCCAGAACGATCCCGGGTGGATTTGTCAAGCTCTAGAACCACGTCGTCTGTAGCAAAGCTAGGGACATACAGCTTACCAGACAAGACGCATGTATTCAGCCCATTCGTCCCTTCTTCAGCTGTCCTTGAGCGCAAAACAATGGCACATCTAAAGAACCCGTCGGAAGTAGAAAGTCCATTTGTCCCGAGAGGGCTCAATGCGGTCTTCCCCCCATCTCAGCGATAAGTCTCTCCCATAGCTCCACTCTTTCTTCTCTAACGTCATGTTCAAGCCACGAGGGAGAACCACAGGACTGGAGAGCGCACCGCCGACCAGAACATAGCCCGACCCGTCCATCTCGATCCGCTTGGGCAGGGGCTGCAGGATGTTGTGCAACAGAATCGTCTGGATGGCGGCCTTCGCAGAGGGGGTCGGTCACAGAGAAGGTTCAGGTGCCCACGCGCTGGACGGACCGTGATATCCACCTGTGCATCACAATAGCAAGCTACGTCTTCCACCTTGGGCACTCTTGACATCCCCAGTTGTCAGGAAGACCGACTCGGAGCGCTCCAGGCCAGCAGCGCACAGCTTACCTGACGTCATCCGCCAGATCCATCTTCATCGTGACTTGGACTACATGGGGGGCGTGCAGCTCGTCTCCGTCTTTCTGTTGCGGTGGGTAGAAGATGAGGGTCGTTTCGTTGAGACGCAAGAGAGATGAGGACATCGGTGGATAGAGGCAAAGGGGTCCCCATCCAATTAGGCAAGTCGATTTCCATTTTGAGCAGAGGTGCATATATTTGGGTACCGGGACTGATCGAGAACATGGTGAGTCTACGAATAGTACGATATGTAGATACCACCAAAATCCCAGTAACACATGGTCCCTGAGTACGGCGATACGGTTGAGAAGGCGGGGCAGTCCTTGAGCACTGTGGGCAAAGACGCTCCTGGCGCGAAAACAATGAGCTCCTTGTGACTTTGAAGATGATTTGTGCGCCACACGGCAAGATGACCGGAGTACGTGAGCCCCACGAAGCTACCGTCACGAGGCAGCGTTTCATGGCGGACTTCTCCCTCGAATGTGCATTTGGAGCCACGGAGCAAGAGGCTGTAGGTTATGATGCCTGGCACGGATGGACCAATGAAACCAGAGACTTTCACTCGAACACGGTAAACTCCAGCCTCGACAGGGCTTTCGAAGACGGCGATGGAGTGATCCCGTGACCGAGAAACTACGCTGAGTGGGACGGTTCGCATGGCCGGACGGTCGGGGCCAAATTGTGCAGGAAGATTGACGAAGCCGATGCTCATATCTTGCGCATCCACATCTGCCGAAGTAAGAATAACAGCTTGGTCTGGGATCAATGCGACATCGATGGGACAGCGCTAGACAACCAGTTGATCAGATGGCATGCGAAGGCGTCAATTGGGCTCACCGAGGGCAGTTCAATCGACTGGCCCGATTCCGAGTCGAACAAGATACATCGGCCTTGAAAAGACTCGAACTCCTCGAGAAGAACACAAGAGAATCTCCCACAGATCTTGGCTCTCTTAAAATTTGATTCCGAGATGTCCATGAACACCTTCTCTAAAATAACGGTACCCAGACCCGTGCTTCCGTCGATTGTGATGACACGAACAAGACCGTGCCTGGTAGTGATCAGTCAAGGAAAGAAGACACGAGGATACACTCACGCCTGTTCAGGTTCCTGGGGCCAATTTCGTTGACAAACGATCAGGCTCACAGTTTCACCCTTGATTTCGGCACCGAACTGACAGACGAAAAGTCCATCACGGGCTGTGTCCAGTGACCACACGATCTTATCATCCCGGACCCTCCATAGCTCCAGGGTGCGGTTGTTGAATAGCAGAAACTCGCCGCCGGGCAGGAGCCGCGCTTCATTTTCCTTCGAGGCGATGACATCGGGCGGATGAAGGACGACTTGTTTCGTAGGTGCGATGATGGATGGTTGACTAGGCCGTCGGCTGAAGCTCCATGATGTCCCCCTTTTCCGTGTGGGAGTCCAGCTAGAGGGTCCCTTCAACAAACGCTTCACGAGCTCAACCAACGCGTCGTGCGAGCACGTGCTGACGTGCGCCTTGGACCCTCGATCGATGAAGCCCCTGGAACACAGATCTTGAACGAGATGAACCCAGAGTAGTCGTTGCTGGGTCTGTCTCCGTAGAAAATGATTCGTCTGCGAGGTATATATATGTAAGTCAAGGGTTTTCGCTGCTTGATGATATATTCGCTTACTCTGCTCATTGAAAGGACAGCACAGACATCGCACATGGCAAGCACGATCCCGAGGACGTCTTCAGGTAGATCTTGGAGCAGCATGGCTTAGGTTGTAAAGCCCCAAAGACGTGGCGGTTCATGTTTTAAATATGTGAAGGCAGTAGTGATATGTCTGTGACATTGATGGAGGAGGAAGCAACGGTTGATGCGGTCAGTGATTAGCCCTTCGGGAATCGGGATGCCCATCACTGACGATGCGACACGCCATCATGCGCTTGCGAGGCAAAAGCTAGACGAACACAAGTGTGACACTGCATAAACCAGGCTCCTCATACTTGTTGCGGCCTGTAAGGATCCAGTTCTTGGCTTGCGCGGCGTTCAGTTCGATTTGACATGCCATCTCAGTGCCTACCCGTTGTCAAACATTGAGCATCGCGTCCGTCCTCACCCCTGTTATCCCGTTCCGTCATGGGCTCATGGTGGTCTTCAATGCCCGAGCCTCCTCCCGCTGGCATGCGTGTTGTTCCGTGCAACGGCATGGATCTCGAGTCGCGCGAGCTGATCTTAACTACGGGACTCATCATTGGTTCCCGATTGGACGCGCATGCCCTCGAGACTAGTCTCTACGAGCTGATTGCACGTAAACTTCCCAGATTAGGCGCGCGCTTCGCAATTCGGAACGGGGTGTGCTCTCTCGGCTTCACTCCAGTAGCACAGCTCCCTTGCTGACTAGTTCTCGTAGGCTTACGAATTCCACATCCCTACGACGTTCGACGCAGTTTCGAATCGGCCGGCGGTCTTTACTGTCGCAGATTACCACGAACCGTATTCAGCATCCGGCCGCCCTGCCCTCGAGCCTATCTACATCAATTCGACCGCACATGAGCCACTGATACATCCATTTCCTGATCTCGACGAGTACTTCCGGAACCCCGATTCCCTCTTCAAGACGCAGGCTGAACTGATTGCATCGAAGTCGCCAATGCTCAATGTCCATGTTTCGATCTTTGAAGACCTGACGTTCGTTGGAATCACGGCTTGCCACTGCTTGTTTGATGCCATGGGTACCGCGACGTTCCTGCGGTCGTGGACACGCGTCATAGCGGGCGAGATCGAGCACGTTGAAGAGATGCCATGGGACCTGGCGCCGTTCGAAACGTATGCTTCAGTGGATGCCGACGTCAAACTTCGGCGAGGCTATTATGACCTCGGACTATTCAGCAGGATGCTCTTCATCGCAGGTTTCATCTGGAAATTAGTACGAGATCCAAAGGAGGAGGGCAAGCTTGTGCGTGTGCCCAAGGCTTTTCTAGCCCTCAAGAAGCGCGAAATCATGGACGAGCTGAGGGCCAGTGGTTCGACTGAGTGGGTTGGGTCGTCCGATGTGTTGATGGCCTGGTGGTTCAAAGTGAGCAGTCACATGCATCATGATATTCTGCTTGCATCTGTCTCAGACGCATTCTGAGTAGATTTCGTACGACTGGCGACAAGACAACACCGCCATCCATATGCATTACCCGGTCAACCTGCGTGAGAAGGCTATTTTCCCTGGAGGGACGGAGCTCGGAACGCCGTTCATCGGCAACGCTGTCTCCTCGATCACCATCCCGGCCATCCCTGCCAGCAGCTTCAAATCGCTTTCATTGCGCGATCTATCGCTCCACATACGCAGAGCAGTCCTCGCTTACAACAACGAGGTCGCAGCGATTAAGGATGACGTGCAATGGCGCTGCGCCAAAGCTAACACCCAGAAGGTCGTGTTTCCCGCTTCGGTCGGGGGCGAATGGGTCTTCCAGACCAACTGGCGTGATGCAAAGTACGGCGAACTGGACTTCTCTGCAGCATCGGTGCAGAAATCCAAACCGGCCCCGGTCGTCTTCGTGTACCCGGCCGTGAAATCCTTCACAGATATCCCCACGCGAGGAAGTGGCGTCACGCTCATGGACGACGGCCAAGCGGTGTGGATGGGCCAGGTGCAAGGACTGAAGAAATGGGAGGCGATCCGACGAGCCAACCAGTCTCTGTTTGCATGAGCCAGAATCACTAACAGTAACCAGGGCCAGAACTTTACTGAGACCAGAATGACATTGAACGTATCGATTGCAAGAGGAAAGAGCGTGGTGCGCCAAGAATGAAGGCAATGGGCATTAAGTACTGATAAGTAGGGTGGGAAGGGTGGTGAGAAGTAATGGATACAATGATCTTTTCGTAAAATGGCCGGAAGAAGGGCGGTATTTGATACAAGGTGTGTGTCGTGGAATAGTGATACATTTTCTTGGAGGATCGTTACACAGGAGAGCCATTGGAAGACCTCCGTGTAGTAGACGCCGGGGTAAAGCGGTAAGGATGCACCCGCACGCCAGAAGCCAATTTCGTTCGCCGCTCGCGGAGATCCTTCACGGCGTTGCCGGTGCAGATCCAGCTCGATGCGGGCTTGGCGCTATCCGGTGTGGCGGGTGCAACGAGAAAGACCGCATCGGCAACGGCCAAATCGCAGGGATACAGCGTGCACTTGAAGGCCGCAGACGACGACGGGAATTCCGAGAACGGTGATGGAGGAATGGTGGCACCGAGAGAACTCGCGTCGGATGGAGAGGGAGACGGCGAACGAGAATCGGAGGAAGTCACACTCGACGAGATCGACACCCGCCGGTGCTTGTTCATGGTCGACCAAGAATGCTGGGGAACATGCATACGCCGAGGCTAGAAAGAACGAGGTTAGTCGAGGAGGAGACAAGTGCCCGAGGTAACGCACCATGCGGTCGTGAGAATCATGCTGCTGTGAATCGCCGCGCTTGGGGAGGAGATTCAGAGTGCGTAGAGAGGGGAGAGTCGGTCGTTCGTAGGAAGACATGTCACAATCGGAATGGATACAGTCAAGTGCTCGGTGAATAGACGTCTGAAGGTAAAGGATGAACAAGGTCGTGGAAGAGTCGTTATCCGCCGGGGTGATACAGGCTCTGCCTAGTATAGGTCGTGTGTTGGAGTGTAGTGGAGAGTTACAGAAGAAAAGATGAGAAGGGTATCACGAGAATGCAAGAGTAGACCGAGAGTGGGGTAAGTGGGGAGGCGGTGGAGAATTAAGTATAGCGCCAAGCTATATAAGCCATACGAGAGAATAAGCGGGCCATTGACCTCGAGAAGTCGTTGTCTTGACGCGTGGTGCAGAGAGCTCATTGTATTCCTACAGACTAGGAACAAAAGAGGCGGGTGTTGTTTGTGAATCGGAGTTCGAAAGTTTGATTGCATTGCCGGCGCTCCCGACGGTCGACCGCGTACCTCTTGGTCCATAAAGACTGCAGCAATGTTTTATCTTGGTATCCGCGCCAAGTTGGGAGTTTCCTGGCTGTGTTTTCGGTAGTGGTTAACGATGGGGAAAAGAGGACGGACGAAGCTGCCTGATGCGGAAATAGTCTTACGTCACTCGGATTATCAGTCTTGACAAAATCATCTTCTCGTTGCCCCATTCATGGCAGATTTACCACCCAAGGTCACCATTGTGCGACCCTTGAGTTCTATCATCGAAAACAACTTTCTAATGCGACTGCCTGCAGCTCAAGGGCCACTCTCCTGATCTCTCTGCCGCGACGTATCAGATTCACGATGAATCGCACACAATAGGGAACGCTCTTCGCTGGATGCTCATGAAGAAGTACGCCTTGCCGACCCTCTGACGTCTTGTACTCTTTCTTATTGAGCTCTTCAGTCCCAAGGTTGAGTTCTGTGGTTACAGGCACGTGCATGCTCATTGTCTAGTTGTCTTGGCCTCCATCTCGTGGACCAGGCATTGACGGCTGGCCATCTGCGTTCTCTTTTGTGTGTGCGCGTTCTGACTTGCTCGTAACCTTCCAGCGCGCCGCATCCATCGGAAAATGTTATCAACGTGCGCATACAGATGTACGGTACGTGGTTTGAAGCCGGTCTACATTCTCCAGCTTTACACAATTCAAAGACAGCCTGTCATCTCTGGAGGCTCTTGTGGAGGCACTCGGAAATCTCGATGACCTTTGTTCCACTATCGAAGACGCGTATGTTACTGATCTGAACAAGGGAAAGTTCGAGCGATGGGATGAGCGTAGTTGAGAGAGCCCTGCGTAGAGAAGGCTAAAAAAGTATTATAATGTACAGAAAACATAATTTTCTGCGTGAAGCCGAAAAAGAGTATATATGTAATATGCAGCCTTGCTGCCAGGCAAGAGGGATATCCCTTGCCTGCGATGTACGAGGTGTATAGGATAGTCTAGTCCATCTCGTCTAATCGAGACCTGTCATTAGCCCGCATGACCGCGGCCGGATCCTTCGCAGGTAAATGAGTTGTGGCATCGTTCTGTGAGAAGAAATCTTCTAGCGTGAGTGGTCTAAGATGGAACCCCTGTACAACATGAGCACAGTTTGAGAGGAAAGAAGACCTGGCTCACCTCGAGCTGACCCAGCTCCAACACTTGCTTGTCACCATTGGTTTTCTTGACGAACTCTCGAACCGGAACCATAGCTGCATTCCTGCACATCTCTCGCAGATCGGATCCGGACAGTCCCGAGGACGTCTCGGCTAGTTGACGCATAGGGAAATCCGGAGCCAAGCGGGTGTCTTGAAGAATCTGGGGCAGGGTCAACGGAAGACGTAGTATTAAGCGAGAGCACCCACTAATGCAAGAATATTCATGCGTTGCTGAAGACTGGGGAGTGGTACGGCATATCGCTTCGGCATTCGTCGAAGGATGGCAGAGTCTATGTCATTAGGCCGATTAGTCGCTCCCAGAACGAGGATGCGATCTGTACTCGACAGCAGGCCGTCCCATTGCCTGGAGGAACTGAGAAATGAAACCGGAAGGGGACGATCGCACGTACGTCATGAACTCAGCCTTCATCATAGCAGTCACTTCATGATCGCCACTGCTCCGTTCCCGCAGAAACGAATCAATCTCGTCGATGAAAATGATACAAGGTTGGGCTTTCCGTGCCAGCTTGAATAATGCTGCCACGAGCTTGTTGGACTCGCCGAACCATTTGTTGGCTAGGACACTGGCCGCAATGTTGATGAACGTGGCTCCACTCTCCTTCGCTAGAGCCTTCGCAAGCATTGTCTTGCCGCAACCGGGCGGGCCAAAAAGGAGAACCCCCCGCGGAGAACTGAGAAGGGAAGACGCAGACGTAAAGAGGTTGGGGTACACCAGGGGATATATGATAGACTCGCGCAATGACGAGACGATGTCATCTAAACCACCGATATCTGGAAAATGAACTGGTCAGAAAGATCGCGTGTCCACCCAATCACTTACCGGAGAACTTGACGGTTATGTCGTCAGGATGAATCACCTCGTTTGCCACAGTGCCTGTGGTAGCGTAAGCCGGCTCATATAACCAAAACAGAAGCACGCACGCTCATACTCGTCCAACTCGATATCCCCATGTCCCAAACGCTTCAACGCCTCCAGTTGTTTGGCTTTCACTTCCTTCTTCTTGTCAGGCAAGAATTCATCCAGGGCCCACTGTCGAGCGTCAGAAACCATATCCGTAACCCAGGGATTAATTGTCGCGTACTTTGACAGTGTAGAATAGGGCAGCCTACAGATGAACTAGTCAGTCAAAGCTTCGCGGATATGGCAAGCAGTTCCTCACCTGCCCGGCGAGGAAGAGAGCAACTTCCAGAGCGATACGCTTGGTGTTGGAGGACATGCGAATGAACGAATTCGATGTTGTGTGTGAAATGCGGTATCTTCCGTAGTCGCGTACTGTGCAGGGTCTAGAGTCAGGAAAAGTACTAGACGCGACACCGAATGAAATTTGGCAGGTGAAATTCGCTTGTGACTGCCACTCGTGACGGTGACAAGGCCGTGTCCTCCATTCGGACTGCCTTTGTATTGTGGTTCTCACCCACACACACATCTGTTACCGCCATAATCTCTCAAGCGCTCCCCCAAGCATAAAGGGACGTTCCCGCTCCTCCATCCTATTCCCCACCGAATCCCCTCGGACGCAGGACGACACAACGCGGAGTGACGGCTGTGATGGGCAATTGTGGTTCACAACCCGACCAGGCGGGCAAAGAGAAGAGCGATGCGATTGACCGCCAACTCGATGAGGACAGTAAGAGGTTCAAGAAAGAGTGCAAGATTCTACTCCTAGGTATGTTCCGTCACAAACATTCCTTGTTTCCTCGAGTGGCTCTTGTGCCAGGCTTGCTTGTTCTTTGTGTGGGCTTGGTGTTGCGCGCGTTTGATAACACTCTTTGGCCTTTCACGGGCACACCTCTCGCTCCTTTCTTGCCTCTTGCCATGCTTTCCGTTGCTCCATTCGCTCGTATCTGGAGACTGTTTGCGTGGGAACCGCTTTTGGGTTAGCCCCAATCTCGTTGCTCGTGGAGCACGCCGGTGACTTGTTCGCCCTGTCACCTCTCTTGCAGAGCACCCCGAATTTCTTCACTCGTTTCCGAATGCCGTTCACAAACCCTCCGCTATTGCTGCCACATATTCATTTGATCGGCGATCGCGTTTAACCCTGCATTAAATAGGCTCCGGCGAGTCCGGCAAATCCACAATCGTGAAACAAATGAAGATCATCCACCAAGACGGATTCAGTCGTGACGAGCTCCTCGCCTTCCGACCGACCATCCACAAAAATGTACTTGACTCAGTGCAGGCCGTCATTCTCGCCATGCGGAAGATGGGTGTTGACCCCACACACTATGGCAATCGGGTACTGGCGGATAAGATCATCGATGCTGTGTCTGTGACCGAGACCCCCGACTTCTTGACTCCGGAGATCGCAGACGCCATCAGCCAGGTGTGGCAAGACCCCGTGATCATGAAGATCCTCGACGAGCACCACAGCGAATTCTATCTCATGGATAGCGCTGTCTAGTACGTCCAACTCTTCTCTAATGGGCTGGCACTCTTGGCTTATCATGTTGCTCTCAGTTTCTTCACGGAAGTGTTGCGCATCGGGGCACCAGATTACGTGCCCACAGAAGCTGACGTTTTACGAGCTCGAGCCAAGACGACAGGGATCGTGGAAACACGTTTCAACATGGGCGGACTAGCGTATGCTGCTGCTTTGCTTGCCCAGATGTGTATTGACACCCTTCAGGATACACATGTTCGATGTCGGGGGTCAGCGCTCAGAGAGGAAGAAATGGATCCATTGTTTTGAAAGGCAAGTTTCCTTTCGTGCGCCCTTCCCTTCTCTCATCGTGTTACACAGTGTAACGAGCATTATATTTTGCACGGCGTTGAGCGAATACGACCAAACGCTGTTGGAGGCCAAAGATCAAGTATGGCTGAGTCCTCTATGATGGAACCAACGCTGACGACCGTAACAGAACAGGATGAAGGAGTCTCTCCTGCTCTTTGACTCTGTGATCAACTCTCGATGGTTCCTACGAACATCGATCATTCTATTCCTCAACAAGATAGATGTGTTCAAGGCCAAGTTAGCCAAGGTCCGTCCCCCCTCGTTGCCTGCAACCCAACATGTTGGCTGATACTAGTCAGGCACCTCTGAATCGATTATTCCCCGAGTATGTCGGTGGTGACGACATCAACAACGCGGCACGGTTTATTCTGTGGAGATTCATGCAAACGAATCGTGCGCGGTTGAGTGTCTACCCGCAGTATGTTATATTCTTGGGCCCTTTCGAGATGGCATTGACCCCTCTCCAGTTTAACGCAAGCGACGGATACCTCGAACATCCGTCTTGTATTTGCTGCGGTCAAGGAAACGATCTTGCAGAACGCGCTCAAAGACTCGGGCATATTGTGAGCCTGTGTCAAGTGTCTCGTTCTGGTAAGCATGCATGCCTCGCCCCGGTGGCTGTTCGTTAATGAATCCTCTTGCAGTTTTACTACGCATTTGTACCATCAACCCACACCACTGCATCGCTCATGTCTATCGCATTGTCACTGCTTTTGCCTGAATGGCCCTTCCAATACTGATATGTTTCTACCTTAATCTGCTACCATTACATAGAGCGGATCTTGTTGGGCCGTTTTGTAACATCTATAGTTTGTATTCACATCAGATTCTCTCTTTGGACTGATTCTTTTATCTGCCTCAGAATGATCTATGATCTAGTGTGAACATGCTGACGACTCGGAGACTGATCATTGCCGGCTACTTGAGTTGTTATGGTATGATTTGTGTTTAGTCCGAGTCTGGGTTGCTCCCGTCCATGACAATGTTCGGACCTCACGGCACAGAACGTTGATTCCCTAGTCTCGCAGATCTTGAACAAACTAGTCCACAATCATCGAGCATCTTTTCCCATTAATGGGGTGGGGTACCTGTCCTCGAATCAAGGTTCCATGCGCCCAATTCTGGCACTGTCTTTGCAATCTATGGTGGAATCTACGCAGAAGCAGGGATCGTATCCGCTGCAGCATGGTCGGTGCACACGAATCATCGTCCATGTGCGCACCTCATGGCGGCTTTACATTCATCTGTCCTGGGCCGAGGCGAATGGCAATCATAGATGATCATGCCGTCTATATAACAGGTAGGGACGGGCAGCGTTTCTGTGCTTCGTCCCCCGCCAGAATGCTCTTCGTGTTCCTTCTTGCAGCTTTGACGAGACTCGGAGAGGCGCTGGCTCAAGACCAGGATGATCCCGTGTACGAAAACCAGGTCCAAAATCTTTTCGTTAGTTCAGCCATTCGAAATCACGGACTGCGCGTGACGAGCTGACCACTGTGCTTACTCAGAAACGCCTTCAACTGAGGACGATCGAAACAGGCACTGACACTGGCTGGGTCCCTAATCCATGGGACGGAAACTTTGGCTGGTTCCTCAAACCATCCGACTTGACGCGGGTGGGCTGGCGGCTGGGCGACATCTCCGACCCGAGCTCGTCCGAAATCATATACAGTCTTAACACCAGCATGGCACTGCCCTTCGAAGCCAAGATTGCCCAGATGCCCAATCCGCCGGAGAATGCGTTCAACGTGTCATCGGGCTACTACTCCACAGTCCACGCGACGTTCCCCACCTCCAAGGCTTCGTCGCGAGCGGAAGCGCCGAGCGGCGAGCACAGGCGTCGATCTGCGGATCTCTTTGTGCGTCTGATGATTCGCTTTGAGACGCGTTTTCTCATCCGAGACAGGATGGCCCCTTCACAGCAATCCCGTTCTCGAACAAGTGGTTCACCGTCTACTCCGATGGCTGCCCTTTCGCTTCAACGCTCACAACTACCGTCACCGACGCAGTGGGGAACACCACCTCCTGGACAGATACCCTGCCCACCGACTTTGTGGAGATCGATCACGACTTTCCCGCTGATATTGCCCTGCCATTTACATTCACGCAGACGACCGAACCATTCGCGGGGAATGTCTCCGGAATTGTTCGGACCCCCCCATTTCAGATTGGTCTGGGGGGCGGCGATGACGGTGAGAAACCACTGGCTTGATTTTAGGTGTTTCCTGATCTTTCGATACAGCGCCCTCTCTGTACTCCTACTACCAGATCGTGTCCTACTTCTGCGGTCAACAGGAAGATGATTAGGTCTTCTGGGCTCTCACATAGGACTTGGTAGCCACATTTGCATGAGATCCTTTGTCGGAAAGCAGGGCCCAATATGATCTGAGTCACAGAGGAGCACGAATCAGTTCAGTTTCCGACTATGTTCACAACATTGTGAAGATTCAGGACTTCGATCTATGCTACTCCCATCAAGTATATCAAGCTCTAAAGGGGAATGATCACATCAAATCGGGCCTACATTGTGAGACGCGGTATCGGCTACGGGCCCCGACAGTAATGAGCCATGGCATGGGAGCAAGTATATGTTCCGCTCCCGCTTTGGGAAGGCAAGCCCCGAGCTGTTTAAATCAAGATCGGTTCATCAGGCTACAAATGAAGCATAATTATCAACTCAGTTATTTGAGATTCAAGGCCTGAAGTCGAGTCTTGACGGGGCTCAGCACAATCCCGCCGGCCTTGGCGACCCAATGGTTAATTGTCTCCGACTGCTCGATCTCCATGGCTACGGCAGGTGGCACTGCCGCTGAGGGGTCCACGTGCCACTGTTGATCTATGACAACAGTCTCAAACAGTGTTGCTCAGCGTGCGCGTAACTTTCGCATTGACTTAACTTCTTTGCTTAGCTAGACCGGCACTTGGACGTTGCGCCATGGCGTCCTCATCGGACGGGCCGGCCGCTCTTCTCACTTCTTTATCCTCCGCTGGCGACATGAAAGACCGCTTGCAGTCTCTGCTTGATGCCAAAGAACGACAACTCCAGCAAGCGGGCACGCTGGGCCAGCGGGTTCTGCTCCAGCGTATGGAGCTCGAAGACCGGATCAAACAGCTCCAGGAACTCGATGCGGGCAAGCTGGACGACGATATCGTGGATGACGAAACGAGGGAGCGGTATCAGGAGCTCGCGGTGACCCTGAAGTCGTGGGACGACGAGAATGCCGAGCTGTCAAGCACTTTTGGAACACGAGTGAGTGGCACCCGACAAATTCACAGGAATGCATGGAAAGTAATGAGGATATCAGCGCTCTGCGACCCCTCCACCGGTCCCTTATTCGCCTCCGGAAGAGCCCCATCGCTCACATGCCAAAGCGCCCACTGCCACCAATGCCAATGCGCAATCCCGTCGTGCGAAGAACGCTGCCCATCGCGCAGACGACGTCGGTGCGTTCCTATCGCCCCTTGCTCCTCATCATCAGTCCACGAAGACTAATCTTGTGAATTAGAATTTGCCTTTGAGATCGGGTCTGGACTGCTGACAGAGGTCCGACGGCTTCAGAGCCTTCTGGGAGAGCGTGATAAAGCTATCCAAGACATGAAAGAGGAGAAAGATGACCTAGAGAAGAGTGTGGAGACTCTACGATCAGGACTCCGACAACAAGAAGCCAGCGCAGGTGCGTAGTAGCTGCCGTTACCTCATTTTATCTTTTTATCTTACGGCTACTCTCCCTTAGACAAGTACAAGGAAGAAAACTGGAATCTCGAAGTCACGCTGCAAGAGATTCGCGCACAACTAAGTGCCGCTACCTCCGCAGCATCTAGCGCATCCATCAAATCCGACCGCCTGGCCGCACAACTAGCGGCCTCAGTACAGAATGCGGAAGCTGCGAAGCACGAGGTGGACCGGCTCAACACAGTGGTCGACGAAATGAAGGCAAAGCACGAGACTGATGTGGCCACCCATCGGAAAACTGCAGCGGGCCTGGTCCGCGACAAGAGCGACTTGCAGAGCGCCGTTGACCGCTTGAAAGCGGATGCCGCCAGAGCCGGTCGACGGGGTCTTCTGTCATCACAATTCGGATCGCCGATCACCCCGAATGGCGAAGGTAACGACTTCCTCACCCCGGCACACGCCAACGGCGATGAAGAACCGTTCACTACCGGTGGAGCATCAACGCGGCGCCGTGCCATTTACGACGAACTCGAGGAAGGCGATCCCGATTCGCCGGATGCCAGTCCGATCCCGACTCGTGCTCAAGAAAGCGAGCTGGAGGTGCTACGTCAGAAGCTCTCACATGCCCAGCGCCAGATCAATACGCTCAAGGGTAGTTTGCGACGCGAGAAAGAAGGTCGCCGCGGCAGCCCGATGCCCGTGCGCACTGCAATCGACGAAGGACAGTTCGAAGACGAGGAGGATGAAGATGTCGACGTCACTGTGGCTGATAAGGAGAACAAGAGCAGCTCTCGTCTGCGACTGACGCCATTCAAAGTCGGTGGAGGCCGTGGCCGTGGCCGAGGCATGTCACTCGTCCAGCGACTGGGAATGGCTGCTGGCTCGCCCGCGCGTTCTTCACCCGGATTCAGTGTTGACTCCGACGCACCGCCCGTTCCTGCCATGCGTTTGTCTGATCACGACGTTGACCCAGAAGAGTCCGCTTTCTTCCAGAGCTCATCGGATATCACTGCCATGGTCGAAGAAGAGGAAGAAGAAGACCAGGTCCCTCAGCCCCAAAGTCGACCGATGAGCATCGATGGCAACGGCATGGACCCAGCCTTCACATACGGTACCGATCTTTCCCGCCCGCCGTCTATCTCGTCTCCTCTTCGCAACGCCTCGGTTTCGCCCTCTGCTGCTCCACGTGCCAGGCCCCGTCGCGGCCGAGGTCGTGGCCGCGGAGCTGCTGCCAACGGGAGCCGCCCGGGAAGTCTCATCCAGGCGGCAGGCGTTCTGGCAGCTGAGCTGGGTGCTTTCGGTGAGGAGGACGAGGACGTCGTTGAGATCGAGACGCAAGAGGTCGAGTGTCAGACCGACGATTTGCAACCCCGAGTCGTCGAGAAGATCGTCGAAGTTCCTGTTGACAGAGTCGTCGAGAAGATCGTCGAGGTCCCAGTCGAGAGAGTGGTCGAGAAGATCGTTGAGGTCCCGGTTGAAAAGGTGGTGGAGAGGATTGTGGAGGTTCCTATCGAGAAGGTGGTCGAGAAGATCGTCGAGGTTCCGGTTACAGTTCCAGTCGAGAAGGTTGTGGAGAAGATCGTCGAGGTGCCGGTGGAGAGGGTGGTCGAGAAGATTGTTGAGGTTCAGGTCGAGAAGACTGTGGAGAAGATCGTCGAAGTCCCGGTTGAGAAGGTGGTGGACAGGATCGTGGAGGTCCAGGTTGAGAAGATCGTCGAGGTGCCGGTCGAGAGGGTCGTTGAAAAGATCGTCGAGGTTCAAGTCGAAAAGATCGTCGAGGTCCCTGTCGAGAAGAGGGTGGAAGTCTCCGTGGAGAAGCCTGTGGACAAGATCGTCACTATCGAGAAGGTCGTGGAGGTCCCGGTCGAGAAGATTGTCCAAGTCCCGGTCGAGAAGATCGTGGAAAAGATCGTTCAAGTCCCAGTGGAGAAGATTGTCGAGGTCCCTGTCGAGAAGATTGTCGAGAAAATCGTCGAGATTCCTGTAGAGAAGATCGTCGAGAGGATCGTCGAGGTTCCGGTCGAGAGAACAGTCGAGGTTCCGGTCGAGAAGATCGTCGAGCGCATCGTGGAGGTTCCTGTCGAAAAGATTGTCGAGGTCGAGAAGATTGTGGAGCGTATCGTCGAGGTGGAGCGCCCTCGAGATGCAGGAATCGACGGCGGTGTGCAAACATCTCCTATTCGAGAACGACGAACAACTCTGACGCCCGGGAACTCGAGCTATGGGACGATCCGCACAGGCGGTTTCCTCGCTGAAGCTGAGGATGGAGATGAAACGGAGACGGAAGGTGGAGGCGAAACGGAGACGGAGACGGAGACAGACATGGACGACTACCATGATGCCTCTCAAAGCTTGCGTGTGCACTCGAGAGCATCTACCACGGACGACTTCCAGTCTGCACGATCCGCAGGATTCCAGTCTGCGCGTGAGTTCGTTTCCTCGGACGAGCTGCAATCATCGCAAGAAGATTTCCACTCGGTGATGACCATGACCGAAAGCGGAAGCGCCAGTGACGAGGAAGAGAGCATCAAGGCATCTCGGTTGCGTCGCCGGCCCTCGTCGTTCTATGCCTCTGCGGCTGTTGCGCGGACCTATGCGGAACAGGGTGTGGATGCGCCCACGCTCGTTGTCGAGGAGAAACCTGAAGTCGTCGAAGCGACTGTCCAAGTTGATCCCCCTCCTAAACCTCCGGTCAAGGAATCTTCTGTGCAGACAGAGGAATGGCCAGTTTCTGGGCCGACACCGGTTTCCGAGGTGGTTGCTCCCGTGCCGACATCTGTACCGGCTTCTCCTGGGCTGTATCGTGTTGTGTCTGCTGGCCAGCAATTCCAATTCGTTGCGCCCGTTGCAACAGCCCCACGAGACGTGTTTACTTCGACAAATAGCGCTTTCAACGCTCGTGCAAGAAGCTCGATGGACGACCGACGGCAATCTATCGACTCTGCCATCTCCTCTGTGCACGATGACGCGCTTGTTCGCAGCGACGTGTCTATGATCGACAAGACCCGTCCGCCAACGATGGCGTTGCCCCCTCCCCCTCGACTGCCGCCGCCTACCGGTGTCATGGCTCCTCCCAGTTTCATTCCCCGTCACGACATGGCTCCGCCGCGGCCATCGTCACCGCCACCAGCTGAGCTCATCCAGCGGGCGACCACCCCGACATTTGGCTCGATGCTCATGCTACCTGGACCCAAAGGCAGACAGCACGGCTCGAGTCTGCCGCCCGGTTCTGTGGGCCAGCGGCCATCGACGAGCAGCTTCCGCTCCGCCATCAACAACTTGTCACCTGCTGCATTCCGCCAGCAATCGACGGTCTCGCTGGTCTCTGAGCGCGGCCGGATCTCTCCCCGGTCGTCAATGTCGTCCGACCACAATCCGTTCCTCAGCCGGTCTCAGACGCGGCAGACGAATACCCGGGACTCGCCTAATCGCACGGCGGAAGCGGACTTGAGCGCGAACAGGACCATCGGGCCCAATGCGTCGACTGACCCGACGATCATCCACGCCATCACGCAGACGATGATCGGCGAGTTCCTGTACAAGTACACGCGCAAAGCGATTGGGAAGGGACATGGCGAGCGGAGACACAAGCGGTTCTTCTGGGTGCATCCGTATACGAAGACTCTGTATTGGAGTTCCGCGGATCCTGGCTCGACGAACGTGTCCGAGTCGAGTGCCAAGAGTGGTGCGTGCGGTGTTTTTCTGCTTCCGCTGATGTTCACGTTTTTCCAGCGTTTATTGACGGGGTGAGGTCTGTGCTGGACCCGAATCCGATGCCTCCGGGCTTGTATCAATATAGCGTCGTTGTGTCGACGCCTCAGCGAGAGATGAAAATCACCGCACCCACCAAGGAAAGGCACGATATCTGGTTAAATGTGCGTTTTTTTTTCTCAATATTAGAGTCGCCGCTGAACAGGCTACAGGCGTTGAAATACTTGCTCGCGCGTCCCAATCCTGTTGGCAACACCTCCACCGGCCTCCCGGTTCCGCCCAGCCCCAAGTCCGATTACACCGACGACGAAGGGCCTCGGCCGAATGGGCTGAACATGAGTCCGCAGAGCCAGCGCAGTCCCCGAAGCATGCATCGCGGGGACACCTGGAACACCACACCCCGCGGCCAGCGCAGCCGATCGCAGCTGTCTGTCGGAGGCTCGCTCGGCAAGCGCTCGGGGACACCCGCGCAAGAGTACCTGCGCTGGAACGCGCCGGAGAGTCCTTACAGCCCCTCGCGTTCGTTCGTGGATGTGCCGAATGTAGACGAGGACGACCTGGACTTTGAGCTGCACAACGACGACTCGATGGGCGAGAATGGCTTCGAGGGTCTGGAGAATGTCCGCGCATGCTGTGACGGCCGACATACCGTCGGGCATCACCACCACCATGAGCACAGCAGCAACGGTGGCCCTGAACCACCCAGCGAGGGGATGCCCACGCGGCCGATCTCCCCGTCTGGTTGGTCGTTCCGCTCGACGAATTCGCAGCGGGAAGGTGGCGGGATCTTCACCTGGGGTCGAGCGGAAGGGTCGAAGATGCGTTTTGGGTCCAGGAGATCGGCCAAAACGACTACATAGTCCACTGAACGATCGTTTTTTTCTTCTTCTCTAGCTCTAGTCGTTTGCTTTGATATCATACCACTCGTTACTATCCCTCCTAAAACTGCATAATGACATTTATGACTTGTCGCTAACAACCATATCTGCTGAATCGACTTGCATGGATGATTGATCGATCCGTACTTAATCATAGGATTTTGGGGTACATTTTCAATCCAGATTCGTACATGTGGACTCTATTAGTCCTCCGCCTCTTGCGCCAGAATCTCACGTTCCAATCGTTCGCGCTCCGCCTGTCTCATCCGCATCAACGTGACAGCTTCATAATCTAAACCTAGTGACGGCACGGGCGCATTGGATTTGGCCGCATCAGGTGGAGAAACCTTACGACTAGAATCAGTCTGCGCCCCATTGAGGGATAAGAGAACAGCGTACGAAGGAGGTAGGAAACGTCGAATACGAGTCGGATGCTGCCGGCGAGGTTTGCGGTAGCTGGCCCGTGCCCGAGGACGAGTCGCCTTGCCTCGTCTCCGTTTTTTCAGATGGGAGAGGCCGCGCCGACAACTTTCCCGTGCGCTTCAGCCATCTAATGATATCCGGCTCCTTCCCGCCCGCCCACACCACATCGATCCCGTCCAGACCGCGCTCCGCCCGGCCGCTAGCACCAACGGCGGCGAAGGCATCCCCGATCTGCTTGAACAGGACGGCGGCCGTCGTGTATTTGGATGGCTTATCGGGCTTGTCGGTCCCGGATTTGTTCTTCTTGCTGCCTGTGGTCGAGAGGACGATGCCGTCGGCGTCGGTTTCGCCGAACTGTCTGAGTAGCTCAGCAAGTGATGTGGGTGTTGTCAATGCGGGATGAGCGGCGGATTTGAATTTGAGCCGGACAGCGGTGTCTAATGGGTCTGTGGACCGTCAGTTTGTTTGCCTTCCAACTCAACTCAGCGGAGCAATGCGTACGCATGGTTGGAGGAAGATCTTCGTCCTCCGCCGCCCGCTGCGCCTCGGCCTGTCGTTCGTGAGCCTGCCGCTCTCGTTCCTCGCGCATCTTGCGCCCAGCCTCCTGTATCTTCTCCGTCTCGGCCCGCCTGCCCGCCTCGTCCGTCTCCTGGTCCATCTTGGCCTTTTTGAACGCGCGCTCGCGCTCTTCGAGGTCCGACACCATGGTCTTGCGCTTCGCGTCGAAGTTCTTGTAACGCGCGTCCCGTGCGGCTTTGAGGCGCAGCTTCGCGTCGAGCGCCAGGCGTCGCAGCGGGTCCAGCAGCAGCTCGGACGCTTGAGTCAGGGCATGGAACTTTTGGGCTGGCTTCCGAGTCAGCAAGAGGGGGAGGAGGAGTTATGGATGGCTGAAGCTTACCGGCGTCCGGGTCATTCCTGTTCTAAGGTGACTGTTAGACTATCAGAACCGATTGAACGGGGAACAGAGGGCAGACGAACGCGATCAGGGTGCACTTTCCGAGAGGTCTGACGGTAGGCTGTCTGGATTTCTTGTTTTGTGCATTCGATCCCAAGGCCAAGTAGGTCGTATGGGTTCACTTCCGGATCCTGAGTAGCAGCAGACATGGTGGTAGTCAGAGAGCAAGGTGGCTGTGTGATCGGTGAAGCGACTGTATGACCCATCTCGCTTACGTTCTGTGCTATCCTCATCTTTTACATACTCAACGGCCGGCCCTGGACCCAGGTCGCGCGCGCTGAGCGCCCGTGTATGCACCCTGCTCGATTGATTACAAACGAGCTCATACCGTATGCCAGCTCCGCTGTCGATGTGAGCGTGGAGACAAGCCTGCGCCGTCTCGACCGCTCACCCAATTTTTCTGTGTCCTGTCGTGATTAGCTCAGCAATGCACTGAAAAGCCTGGCTCGTGGGGATAGCCACAATGAGAAGCTGTACGAGAATATCCTCAAGCCATGCCTGTGCGTCGCGTCGCTATTGCCAGTTCCTCGATGTGGACCCTGACTGGAAAGGGCTGTAGACTTCACAGAACGTCTATACGCGCCAACAGCCACACGACAGCCGGTCATCACCCGAAGCCATGCACCGTCGAAGTTCAGTTCCACGAACACGGGCGTTTCCACGTACCCGACTTCTTCAGCGCTATAGGTCGGTCTTGAGTATGCTGTTGCTCTCTAGTATGTTGAATCACGAGAAGGTCGACTGCTCTCGTCGGCATCCCTTTCGTCTCGGCGGTTGAATACGGCTCAGCGAATAGAGCTCCTCGCGGCGCATGCGAAGTTGTGCAAACTGTCCGCCCCGCTCGTGCAAGCGCGTGCGCCTACGACCGTGCAGATCCTCTGGGTACGCAGCCGCGCCGCGCGCTATCCCACGCGCTGACACACCGCGCAGACCGAAAACAACAGACTCGACACACGGATCGCGCTGGGATCGAGTCTGGCGTGGGTGAAAGACCGCGAGCTGTTCCAGATGGCGCGCGCCGTGCGGCGGCAGACGCTGGCCGACCTGTGGAGCAGCGCGCTCGCCACGCCTACACCGATGCAGCGCGTGTTTCCTGCCTCGAATAATGGCGCGTTTGGGTCTTGCTGGGGCGATTGCGCAGAGGCGAATACATTGGCCGCGTGAGTGCCCTGATCTGTTTTCCCTTCGTCTAACCTGATTGGATGCCGCTCATAGACTTTGGCGCTCAGTGCAGTCTGGGACACCGTTGGGCACACTCGCGTTCAATGTCGCTTCTCTCAACGCCGTGCACGAACGTTCTGGCCAGAGCGCTTGCGATGTGATTCTGTCGTGTTCCAACCCTAACCCAGACCACCTATTCTCCGTCTTGAAGCACGCCAACGCGCTGCGGCCAATGTGTAGGAATTGCCTCCATTTGAAGGATGCTCTGTCAGCCAGAATCGTCGATTTCGCCATCGTGGAATCTCATGTGACAGCTCAAAATTCGATCCACCGGGAGGATCGTCATATCCAGGCCAGCAGGGAGGTGGCTTTAGCGTAGCAGGAAGGTGCAGGAGTCGTGGTACGCTTCTAATTGTTGCCTCGTCTTCTGCTCCTTCAATATCGACACAGGAAGACGTTCACCGCGTTAGTCTCCGTGACTGATTCCGTCGACTCACTGGGCTTGCAAATTCTTTCACAGTTTCAGAAGCATCATGCCACGCTTCAAAGAAACTGGGATTCGGCCGACGTCGATTTAACCGAATAAAGGGATACCCCCATATCACTAAGCGCCCTGTCAGGTACCCTGGTCTGCCTCCTGGATCGATCATCCAACATAGGGTTACATTATATTGCGTGTCGCAGTGACCTCACACCTCACCTCGCCTTGCACTCGCGTTCCCGTTAGACACGCTTGTCATCCCATAGCCTCTACCTCCAATCACCATCCGCATAGAGCTCTTCACAGTTTCAGAAACCTGCGATGAGTTCCTGGCTCAACTACTTCCCCGAACTCTCCGGTCGATCTACGTACTCATGCTCAATCAAGTGCGGAATCGCGTAGACTTCCTGCACAAAGGTAAATTTAGTGTGTGGCTGCCTCCACTGTACCTCGTGCTCGACAAGTCCCGCTTCAAAAACCCTCGCAATGGTGCCGCTGCATCCCCTCCCTCTCCAACCATGTCCTTCCAAACTCTGTCGCCGCCCTCATATCCTCTGCTACCTGAGCCGTCCGACCTGCTGCGTCCGCCGAGAGCGTGCGGCTGCCAGTGCCTCGCACGCTGTCGCTGTGCCTGCTCTTGCTACGCGCACTGCCTGTGTCAGGCCACGTGCACAGGCGGCTGCGCCCTTGCAAGGAACCTGGTGGTGTTTCTGGACGAAGCGGGGAGGCAGGTGTGCGGCCGTTTCCATCCGACTACTCACCCCGGTGGTTCTGACGGCGGCGCGCTTCGTGGCAGGTTGCCAGCGCATTTCAGTCATTCTATAAGCGTGTCTCGACGGACACCGTATCGAGTCAGTTGAGTTATTACGATCGTGTGCCTGCAAAGCGAGTGTTATCGCGCGATCGGGACCGGTATGTCTGCTCGTTTCGTCAGCCAGGATGAATGCAGACTAGCTTCGGCAATCAAGCAGCAAGCCTGTGGTCAAGGCATACCAATGGCTCTGCCAACATTATCAACCCGGCGATCGACTGTTTCTCTTGGGTGCGTCCTCTGCTTTGTGCTGTACCGTTCCTGTCATCCACGCGTTTCGGCAGGAGGGTGTCACGCGGAGGTCTTGGCGGCTATGATCGACAAGCTCGGTCTAGTTTATGCAAGCAATCCAGGATCGATCGCTTCGTGAATCTCTCCCTTTTCTCGTTCTTGATCGCTTCTGAACGTCTCATTCCTAGAGCATATCACGTGTTCAAGTCTGCTCTCAGAGGAGACGACACCGAGGCAGCCCAATTCAAAGCGAGCCACTGTCAAGCCGTAAAGGTCCATTTCGTCGGGGTCTGGTACGGGCAAGAGTTCCCATATTTCTGCCTTCCAGCTACCAATGATCTCCCAGGGACCCCGACTATGACTGTTCACCCCTTGCAGCTGGAAGCGCGTTCAACATCAATTCCTGCGTCGTCCGTCGTGCACTCATCCTCAGCACGGGGCAAGGCTTCACAGATACTAGCCTCAGTGACACGACGTCGCGGTCTGCCAATGGCACAAACGTCCCGGACGTCGTGGAGCCGCACAGTGCAGAGTCGAGCCTGCGCATGCCATCATCCTGTGGCTGGATGAGCTACGTGCGACGGGCTCTGCTGATCCGCTTCTGGCCACGGCTCTCGCGGAGACGGCGCCGTCGGTGCCCGGAGACCCATCAGCCCCAACCCGAAACCGATCTGGCCATGAGGAACGACGCGAAAGAGGTGTGGTTCGCGGGGGATGCTGAGTCTGTTGCTGTGCTCTGTCGGATCAGCTGAGCGCTGATATTGCTCTCCTTCTCGCGTATAGCGGCGGCGACGACATGTTTGACTTGCGCTGCGCTCCTGTGATGTGGATGCAAGTGCAGGCTGTTTCGGCCGGATTGATTTTGAGCGACGCGAGGAGCACCATGTCCTTGACGCCTACTTCGAAATCCGGTCGGTCTGTCCCGAGAATTCGACGATTGCCCAAGTTCGTGATCTCAATCATCTTCCTACAAGGCCTGACGGGTCCTCCTCGTATTCGACCGCTTCAGAAATCTCAATCAGCCTCCGCAACAAATCTCTCCCAACCAGCTCCTACATATATCGGTGGCGCTGCAGCCTGCGTCCTATCGTCCCTCTGGCTCGTTTGATTCGTTTTGGGCTACCCATTGGCAGGACTTCGTGGGCCGGAATGTCACAGACATCGATGCAGCATGGCTGTCCCCATATCAAGCCAAAGTAGATTTCGAGGTGTTCAGTCCTTCCGAGGTCAAGGACGTTATACGAACGCTCGTGGCGAAAGACGAATTCACTCCAGACGACGATCTGTTTCGGCGATTGACGCTGATGGCGCTGTCTGGGGATCTCGCCGAGTCGTATCTCAGCGCGCCCTGTCTCAGCTGGGTGGAGATGGAAGAGATCGTGGCGTTTCTCAAGCGGCTGGCGGCTCGCTATCCAGAATTGTTCCGCTCGCAGCTCGCGTCTTTTCTGGAATGCCAGGGCCGTCATTCTTCATGCACGACAAGTCGGGCAGAGAGGCTGTTCGAGGACGCGCTCGAACTACGGCGCCGCGCGACTGAAACTGAGTTTGCGCGATACCAGTTGGCGCATTCTCTCATCCGCTTCGGCTCGCACGCGCTCTCCGTGGGCAAATCCCAGAAAGCCGTCTACTTCTTCGACGAAGCCACAGACATCCTCAAGTCGGCCTTTTCCGGTCTCGCAGTGGGATCCGAGGGCGCTACGGCCGCATGCCGGGCGACGTTCTCGCTCTTCCAGCTCATGCAGCAGAATTTCGCGCGCTGTGTGCGCGATCTGGGACAGGACACGTCGGTGCTGAGGCTCTCCGAGCGCATCATCCGGCTGGCGCACGCACTCAGGGAGGCGGGCTGGGGCTGGCCGAGCGACGCGGTGCTCGCGGGCGCGCGGCACGACTTTGCGTTCGGTCTGTCGCGCGGGCCTGCCTCGGCGGCGCGCGAGCTCTGGGCGGCGGAGGAGGCGGTGGACAACTTCCGTGTGCTTGCGCGGCGGCGCCCGGCGTGGTTCGTCGTGAGGTTCGAGACGGCGTTGTATAATTTCTCGGTCCGGCTGCTCCAGGCGGGGCAGTACGAGGAGGCGCTGCGGATCTCGCTGGAGGAGTCGAGCTTTCTGGGAAACGAGTGCAATGACACGTTGGTCGGCGAGCGTTCCGATGACGCGCTCGCGAGATCCTGGACTCAGGAAGCGAGGTGTTACGTGGCAGCTGGCAATCTGGTGGAAGGGATTGCCTCTGCGAAGAAAGCCGTGGCTGCTCGTCGCGCCTCTCCGGGTTCTGATCCGTCATGCCTAGTGGAAGCGCTACACGTCCTGTCCATCGGCCTCTGGCTTCTCCCTGGCTGCTCGGCCGAAGCACTGGGGGTTTGCCGCGAGGCGTTGGATCTCCAGCGGCAGTCGAGCGAAAGTCGAGCATCGCTGTCGTATCGTCGGATTCTCGCTGTTCTATTGCACAACTTCGCGAAGTGTTTGTTGGAGGAGGGACAACATGACGATGCTTTGGAGGCAGCGAAGGAGGTGTTGCAGCTGACGTCCAAATTCGGCGGGTCGAACGAAAGCGACGTCGCGTTTGCGATGAGCTTTGCCGCGCGGTGCACGACGATGTCAGGAAAATCGAGCTCCGGGAATGAGATGGCCGAAAAATGCCTGACCCTGGCGTATGAAATCGCCGTCGCAGAGTACCCGTCGCGGATCGATCTGCTGCCCATCGAGATACAGCTCGCCGAGACGCTCTTCTCCGCGTCGTTCTCGATCAAGGACGTCACGAAGTCGATCCAGGCGGCCGGCGACGCGGCGGCGATCTACGGCAAGATCGTGGACAGCCACAGCGCGCTGTCGCTGAGAGTCGCGCTGGTGAGAACGTGGCTGCGGCTGGGCGCTGTGCTTGCCTCCGAGGAGCGGTACGACGAGGCGCTGGCCGTCTCGGTCGAGGCTGTCGACACAGCGCGCGAACTGGGCCAGGCGCAGAGTGCGTGGCTGCCCAGTGCGCTCTATGGGCTCGCCATCTGTCTCGCCGGCGTGGGGGACTTTGACAAAGGCGAGGCCAGTGCGCGGGAATGCCTGGATATGCGCAGGGCACAGATAGCAGACACGGGCATAGACCAGCCCAATTCAAGCGCAAGCTCGCCAAAGATCAGGAAAAACTACGCGGACGCGCTGCTGCTCGTGTCGTCTTTTCCTACTCAGACACCGGGCACGAATCTGCAGTACATCCGGGAGGCCATCCTCATCTATCGCGCGCTTTTATCGGAGTCGAAGCCCGGGGCCGTCCAGCACGCAAGCTTGTCGCACCGGCTGATGGACGCGCTGCAGAATCTGGCGGTGAAGGCGTTGGTGGCCGGGAGCCGCGAGGAGGCGCTCGAGGCTTCAGAAGAGGCTGTGGCCATCGCAACGGATATGCGTTCCGAGCAGGTACTGGTGAATGTGCTCTACATGCACGCCAATGCTCTCTGCGAGCACGGCAGATTCGGAGAGGCCGCGGAGGCCGTCGAGGAAGCTGATGGCATCTTCGCGCCGAGTGAGAGAGGCGAAGCTGGGGCGGTCTTCAAGAGCATCCGCGCGAGATACCTTATCGGCGTTAATCGGCTGGCGGATGGACTTGTCCAGATCTTGGAGGGTCTGGATCTCTATAAAGGGGCGTTCGACTCGGACCTGACCCTCCTCGAGCTCGAGTCCTTCATCTGGTTTCTCTTCAACATATGTACCTCGATTAGAGACGTGAGTGATGCGGACATAGACCTCTCCGAACTCGCCGACGAGGTTCTGGATCTGGTGCGCTGCATCAACTTGGTCCAGTCTGCATCGGCGAGATCGCGCTTCGAAACGTGTCTGAAGAGCGTATCGCAGTGGCGATCCAGTTTCAGCTGGCCACGAACGTGAGTATCCGGACGGCTGGCAGCGCCAGATGTTATTCAACAACATTTACATACAAGAATGAAGGAGTCTGTCACTCGAGTAAATTACAGTAATTATGTAGAGTATGCTTTTGCCTTGATATATTAAAATTATCATGTTAAAATATCGACTCCGGAGTGAACCTTCACATGAAGTTGAACATGAGTTGATCTGAACCGTGAGAATTGATCGTGATATAAAGCCATGTGGCACGGAACAACCGGGCCGGGCTTCAGGATTTTCTTCCCATCTCTAAAGGATCTGAAGATAACTCATAGCCCAACTCACATCGAGATGCAGTTGTAAAATAATAAGAACTTTCATGTGTATAATTGGGCACCAATTATTGGGTCTATGACTTCTATTCGTGAACGCTAGACATGTTAGATTTACAGCACCTTACTGCATGGTGCAGCACCTTAAGCTCGCCCCACGTTGGCAGTCACATTTCCCTTGGTCTTGTGCTGCTTCACAGTTCACATGGATCCTATGACATAGTGGTAAATTTGGAAGGCATCACGGACAACACGGAGACCATGTTTCCCCGAGCGGCATCGCGGGTATTGGAGGCGGAAGTCCACCCCACTCATGGGAAAACACCGCCGCGTATCCTCAAGTTTTTTTGTGATTAAGCAGAGTTAATCCTGGCTTTAAATGTCGCTGTACCACAGGCACGCTTGCAATCATTTGCAATGTACATATGTCGGACACTCTGAGTAGCTGATGGTCTTATGTAATCGCATAATAAGCCCGAACTTTTTTGCCCCTGCCTTGATCCAAGCCGTTGGGCTGCGTCTCGGTGAATTCTCTTTCTTAGTTTCCCAATCCCGCACTATCACTCATCTCACCTTTAGTGTCTTTCATCTGGCCGTAGCTCTCTGCAGATTGAGACTATCGCGATGGAATCAGAGTACCAAGGAATCCCAGAACCCGAGAACGAGGGACCCATGCCTCACCCCATCCTGCACGAGCCTCTTCTTTACATCTCTAACCTCCCCTCATCCGTCTCTGACGAAAACATCGCTATGGCCTTCGCTACCTGTGGTCCCTTCCGCCCCAAAATACCCCGTGGAGGAGGCGAGGGCCCTGTGAACGGCACAATTGAATTCAAGCTGCTGGAAAAGGGTGCGTCCCCCAGGTTTGCGGCGAGCCGACACTGACTCCGAGACAGCGGAGAAGGCGCTTGCTACGCTGCAGTCGAAAGCACTCCCGGGCCTCATGCCGCCAGTGCCGCTAGTCCTGTCGCCGTATCCTCCCACGACTCCTCCGACGCCCCTGCCGCCGCCATCCGCGCTTCCGCGACTCGTCAAGCACCTCCCCGCGGGGTTCACCGACTCCGAGCTGTACGACATCTTCCGTCCCTTTGGCGCCATTGCGTCCGCGCGCACGCAGACGCACTTTGGGCAGGACACGGGCATGATCGAGTTCTGGAACGAGGAGGAGGCCAAGCAGGCGGAGGACGCGATGCACTTTGCGGATGTGCAGGGCCACAATATCTCCGTCCAGCTGTACCAACCGCGTCGCACGAGCGGCGCCATGTCTGAATTCAACGCGAGCGCGCCGTCATTTGTGCCGTCTTTCGGATACGTGCCCCACTCGCCGCCTGCTCAAGTGCCCTTCTCTCTGCGCCGTTTGCTGTGTCTGACACTGACTGTTCTGCTAGTATTCGCCTCCGCGCGGCAGCCCATACCGACAGCCGATCTCCATGCAACCTGGATCGCCTTTCATTCACGGGCCTGGTCAACAGGTGCAGCTTGCGCCCGTTGCCGGCCCTGGATCGGGCAGCCAGAGCGGACTTATAGATCCATGCAATCTCTTCTGCAAGGTGCCCACTAATCTGTCATTCTCCGTTGTTCTGGCGCACTCACGTTGTGCAAAGAACTTAGACCCCGACATCGATTCGAACGGCCTCTTTACTCACTTCCGCAATTTCGGCCAGATCGTTAGGTGCGGTGGAAGCCTCCGCGTGACGGATCAACATACCGACATTCTTTTTCCAGTGCACGTGTCATGCGGAACGAAAGTGGAGAGAGTCGCGGCTTCGGCTTCGTGTCGTACCAGACACCGGAACAAGGCACGTCCGTCCGCAAGGGATGCTTCTCCGATTCCCCCGTTGATGTTTCCCGCAGCTTCGAACGCCATGCAACAGATGAACGGAGTCCTTCTCGGGACGAAGCAGATTGTGGTCCGCCTGCACGAGCCGAAGCAGCTGAGGCAGGAGAAGCTGGCCCAGCGCTTCAGTGGCCATAATGGCCATCCTAGAAACTCGAGTGGAGCTACTAGCCCTACTGCCAGCGAGGGTGGTGAGAGCATCGCTGGGTGGAGCCCGCGGCACCCGTCTGCTAATCTGGGCTCCCCTGTGCACGGTGCTCATCACGAGCGGGTAGATCGGGGCCGCCGAGGCTCGGGAAGCTACTATAATGTGTGGCATCGAGTATCCGAGTTGCAGCAGGTACTGAACGGTTGCAGGCTGCTCTTTCTGGAACCCTCAATCTCCCCATGCGTTACGAAGATTTGTACGCGCTATCGCCTGTTGTGCGGCAGGAAGTCCTCACCGGCGAGCTGAGCCGGCGCGTGAAAGCAGCCGGAATTGTGTCGGAGAACGATATTGATGCTGTCGTCAAAGCTCTGACGTCCATCTCGTTGGCCGATGTCGTGACCTACCTGGACGACCCTGCGAAGCTCACTCGTCAGATCGAGGTGATCCAGCGATCGCTGCATCCTGTGGCGCCTTCGAGCAAGTCCCCATCGCCTTCGGCGTCGCAAGATTCGAGGCTTCTGGACGTGAATGCGCTGAACGCGACGGCCAGTGCCCCGGAACATCCCTCGACTCCCATCTCTGTCAACGCTTCGCTCTCGACTCCCCCGCGGACGTCATCACCCTCCGGCTCTGTGCCACCCGCTTCCGAACGAGAGCGAATTCTGGCTGCCGTGAGCAAGCTCGAGTCGACGCGCCAAAGCGAGTTGACGGATCTGCTGATGAGCCTGCCCAAACGCGAGCGGGCGATGTGTCTCTTCAACGCGGAGATCCTGCGCGCCAAGTTGGTCGACGCGAAAATGGTGCTCGATGTGTCGGACGACGAGGCCGAGACTCCAGCTGAGACCGTGCAACCCGTCCCGGTCACACCCCAGGCGAAACGGATCGCTGTGCCTCCAGCAGGCTCGCCCCAGACGCCGGATCTGTCGTCCCGTGGCCCAAGTGCCAATGCATCTCCGGCGCCCGCTACACCCGGTGCGCCGACGCATACCATCGCTTCCTTGGCCAAGTTGCCGGCTGTCGAAATCATACGGCTCGTAAAATCGACCACGTCGTCTGGCTTGCCGCTTCCCAAGGCCGATCCGCTGGTCATGCAGGCCACGGACGAGTTTATCGATGGATTGATGGACAAGCCACCCGCGACGCAGAAACAGCAGCTGGGTGATAAACTGTGCGTCCGCCTAGTGTTTTGGCCAACCCGTGACGACTGACTGATTTCCCATCGCAGTTTCAAAACTGTCAAGTCGTTTGGCATCAAACAAGCGGTGCGTAATTTGCTTGGAACTGATTTGCAAACTTGACTGACTATTTTCTGTAGCCCAAAGTCACCATCGCCCTGCTTGACCAGGAAGATCTCCGCGCCCTTGCGCATCTAATGAACAGCTATCCTGCAGTGCTGAAAGACAAAGCTTCGTCTGTTCTTCCCGGCAAGTAAAACGCCGTGCTGTGCATCCCATACATATACTCTAGCCAACCGCTGCTGTTACCTCTCCACCGTCCTTTCACCTGCTTTCCCATTTGCATTTACGACCTTTCACGACCTATTCTATTGCTTTTATCTCCTACATTCATTTCTATTCCCCGGATGACTCGTATTCTAGGCAGGAGGGCAATGCTAATCGGAGTGTTGGCGAGTGTGTATATATATACAAGATAAGTACAGACACGGACTACTACTGGAACGGCAATCTTATCCGTGTTAATACTGCAGACCACTCGTTTTTGCAGCTTGACTGCGGCTGATTCATGCACGCGTAGGGAGAGACGTGTCCGCGAGGGTCGTGCCTGCGAGGGGCGATCGCGACCTCCCAGCGGAACGGTGACGTGAAGAAGGCTGGTGCCGGTGCTTCATCAGAGGAGTCAGGGATAATGTTAACGAGGGCGCCAGTGGTACACGGAAAGCAGGCGATCCCCCACACTAATGCATCCTTCACTCAGTCGTGAAATTAGCGATGCAAAGGGTTTAGAAGAACGAATGCTTTTCGAAATGCTACTTGTTTAGGGTTAACAAGACCTGGCATTTCGAATGAGACCGTCACAACCATCGTATACCTCTGAGACCCCCACGCGCCAAGCAAGGAGCGTGTGATGGTTCGACAGGCGTTCGCACAAAGACGGTGACCTGCTTTGAGAGTGTCCGGAGATAACGGGCGGGCCCGCGTCTCGAGTCTCGACCCTCCGTTGCGCTCTGGTTTCGAGTCCCGACGTTCAAGAAATGCCAAATGAGTGATGGGTAAGTATCTGCCTTGCCAAGTCGTTGCGGGCGGAAGGCATGAGGTAACTTGTTACAACAGGGTTCACCTTTCTTGCGGGAAGCTCCAGGGTGCCGCGGCCGCATTTCGGGAGTAACATTTGCGGACCTTGGGCTTCCTATCAAGTGTGGTTCCCACCTCTCAATAGGATTGCTGTTTATTTGTCGTGGCTGGCACCCTCAGTGACCGCAAGTAAAGGCGTGGCTATGAGCGTGGGCGCGACTAGAAGCATGCACGTGCCAAAATCAGGCCCTGATGACATTGACCGGTTTTCGTGATCGTCGATCAATCATCCAGCTAGGTCCAACTTCTGTCATCCCTGCCTAATATTTTTGGCGTCTCATGCAGCTACGCCGGCGTCCGCGTTCTTCGTCTCATGTGATCACATAGGGGACTGAGCTGTCTCAACGAGATTCGTGATGCCGCCTGTAGGGATCCCTTGTTCTCGAGCATCACATCAGCATCCTTGCGCTTGGTTCCGGGGCCAAGAGATCTTTTTCGCGCCGCATATCAAGCCCAGAGGAGATGGTGGGTACAGGATGAACTCTTTGAGCCCCCGCTCATCCTCCCACTCGAACAGACCAGAGCTCAGGAGGGCGAGACACGATCTCCCAATTTAGCTTGCCTTATCCAGATGCCTCGGCCTCCTGAGGGTAGCTGGGATCGTTGTATCGAATTTGCGATCGGTCCTGCCATCACGCCTGCAAAATTCCTTGGTGATGTCTTCTGTCGGCTGTCTGAACGAATATAAAAGCAATTTGGTGCTGTGGCGACACTTGGCCTCCGCCTTTTATTTACCCAAGTCACTCTCTGAGATCATCTCAGCCCGTACATTCTTTCCACCCCACTCTCGCTACCCCGCCTTGCCCCAAAATGCAGATCCGTCTCCTTGCCCTCTTCGCATTCGTGGCGGTTGTCGCCGCACACAACGGTGGTGACGATCGCGAGCACTCCAACCACCCAGAGTACCAGGGCCACTCCAGCCACGAGGAGCACTCGGGCCACCCCCAGTACCAGAGCCCCCCCAGCCATGAGGAGCACTCCAGCCATGAGGAGCACGAGGGGCACCCGGAGGGAGGCCACCCGACCCAGCCCCAGCCGCCCCAGCCATCGTCGCCGAGCAACACTGGATACCACTGCCCGGACACCAACAAGCAGGCGCACGGCAAGGTTGCTGAGCTCTGCGATGCCCCGCCGCACAGCGGCCAGTCCTTCGGATGCACGTACGTCTTCTGTCTCGATCGTTTTTTCGTGTGCGATCGATCCTGATTTTTGACGCGAAGTTATCTCACCGGCAAGGGCACGGGAACCCATGCCTGCACATACAACTCGCGCACGGGCGAGTGCAACGGCGGCACCAACCGCGAGCACTGCCCCGACTCGGCCATTCAGCACTTTGGCCACAAGCGCCGCGGGTCCCATGCCCGGTAAGGGACATAGACCCGGACCGCACTCGCCTCCCGGATGATCGTCTTTTATGGATTGTGTTTTATTGGCTAGTCTCCGGTTATCCTGCCCTTATATGTTTAGATTCATGGACCATTGCTCGATACTATTACTCCCCCTGACTGTCCCGATATTGCTCCTCATCTCCCCGTTCCCTGCTCACGCACGCCTTGGTTTTACGGACCTTTTCTGACTCACACTCGCCCTGGTAATCAGTAGACTTTTATTGTAGTACGGCATCTGCCTGTTCTATCGTCGTGTCTGGGGCGTACTTCCACATTGTCAAGCATCCATCACCATGTCGGTTTCGACACACACATGGCTTGTGTTATGCGATTTCAATTTGCCAGAATGCATGAGATAAGGGAATGGAAAAGATGCCTAAAGCTTTGAAATCACGCAAAAAACAAACTCTTCTCGTGCAAACCCTTGCCTACGTAACGAGGCATCGGATTCGACTCTAGGTAGGTTCGTAGACGAGCTCAGAGGTGAGTCTGAAACGGTGATTTTCCGCTTGAGACAGCTGTCCGAAAGATTAGCATTTTGATCACTTTTCGAGCCTGATGGCGATTTGATAATACGATCTTCCTTGACCATTACCTCACCGGTCGCCCACATACGGACTCTTGTCCCGTCGTTCGACCATCCCATCGTCTGATGCATTCTGAATGGCTGAAGGCTCCGTGACCCCAATAATGTCGGCAACCCGATCTGTGTCAATAGCCCAGCAAGCGGACCTCGTGTTCTCCCTAATTGAGGCTGAAGTCGAACGGGCTGAGAAACCTCTTCTCGAAACCCTCGATGCCCTAGCACAGAAACTAGACGCCCAAAAAGCCGCCTTGTCCGCGAAAGAAGAACGTACGCTGGCGGTCACGGCGGAACTAGCTGCGATCGAGTCTCTGTTGCGAACACACGACCTGGCCGTGCAGGTGAACGAACACGGACCCACGCTATCTTTTGTCGGAGACACAGCCGGTGTGCTCTCTCGCATCGAAAGAGAGGCGCGGAAACTTGCTCCCGATTCTGGCACTTACCGAGCCATCTCTCCCCTTACCATTGTTCCCTCACTCGTCGCGCTCATCGCAGATTGCGCGCGCCGAGTGGCGGCGGCACAAGACGCGGCCTCTAAATCCAAAAACCATGTCACTGCACTCCAGGAAGAATCGAGGGAACGTTACGATGCACTCGTCCAGCTCACGGTCGTTCTCGCGTCCCTCCGGAAGGATGCCACAATGAAAGATCAAGCCCTCGCACATATGTGCGAACAGACGGCCGGCTGGAAGGCGAGAGTATCTGAACTGGAACAACGCAATGTCGAAACGGAAAGGCTCGTGACGGAGACGGCACGGCAATTGGGCGAGCTTCGGAGTGATTCTTCGGCTGCATGGAAGACCCAACGCGCAAAGTTCGAGAAGGATCTGGCTGCGGAGCGCTCTCTCGTGCAGCAGCTGCAGAGGTCAGTGGCCGCTGCACCAGAAAAAATGAGGGCCCTGGAGATTAGTGTCAAGGATTGGGAACTCAAGCACGAATTGCAGCTGAGCAACTTGGCGGCTCTTCGGCATGAATTTGCGAGCGAACGCAGACGGTTGGAAGCAGAGACGCAGGCGTGGAGGGAAAAGTATACGGAGGCCGAAAACAATCGCAACGGAATCGAAGTCCGGCTGCAGGCAGAGTACGAGAGAAAATGCGTCTCACTGGTGACCGACCACAGCGCTTCCCTTGCTGCTGTCCAGTCTTTGGCCGATCAGGCGAAGGTCGAATCAGAAGCTGCGCATCTCGAGTGCGGCATACTCCATGGGGCCGTTCAGCAGGCAGAAAAGAGGGCTTCACAAGTAGAACAGGAACGGGATCGTATCCAGTCAGGTCTGGCCAGATTTCATTCGTCAATGGCCAAGATGAGGCAAGAGAGCGAGAAGTGGGAGGCTGAATGCACACGAGCGAAAACTCAGAATGAGCGCGACTCTGCGCTCATCGCCGAAAAAGCTTCGCAAATTCGACGTCTGCAAGATACGCTTCGTGGTCGAGTAGCAGAATTGGCGATGTTGCGGCTCGAACCGGATGGGTCGCGCGAGACTAGGCAGACGCAGAACCGACGTGTCGAAATCGAGCCACAACCTCTCAAGAGTAAGCCAGATCAGCAGCGTGAGGCAGCCGTCCCCGTAGAGCCCCCGATGAATATAGTCTTGACCAAACGTTAGTTTCTTCCAAACGGACGTCTAAAAGTCCACTAATGACCACACAGTTCGACCTTCCAGGACAACATCGTCGTTCGAGAGCTCGTCGGCCACTGGCCCAAATAGTCCCATTTTTGCTACTGCTGGTACTCAATACTGCTGATAGCCAAGACCTCATCCTGATCTCCAGTTTTATAGCGTCCACCCGCAGCGCAACAGTCGTGCGAGGAATCAGCAGTGGAACCCCAATCCGGCGGCCAGGTCCTGGTCCTAGCTCGCAGTCTAAGCCTAAGGATATAGCCGACAGTGCTCTTCCTTTGAAGCCTTCTTCGGCGCGCAGTAGGACTCGCAGTGGGCCAAGCTTATCTTCGTCCACCGCTTCCATCAGGACATCCACATCCAATCCCGGTGAGTGTCGCGCGAATGGCCCTTACGTAGCTGACGCGGCATCCGTTCTTTCACCAGACTCGGCGCTCTCAGGTCCTTCCGAGCCACGGCTTGCATCATCAACTCAATTCAATGCGTCAACCCCCCATCGTCCACTGGGTACGCTTTTGTCCAGATCCGACCGGATTGTGTTTCTGATCTCAATCCAAGCCATTCAAACGATCCCGCTTAAAAGGCCAGCCCCATCCCCGCTTGTATCTGAAAGAAACAAAGCACTGCGAACGGTTGCTCCCACATGGAAGCGTAAACCGTCGGTAAAGATGATGAGGGATCCACCATCATCACAGCCCAAGTTATGACTCCTATGTATAGCCTTGTGTTATGTATCTACTATCCATTTCCTACATTTTGGTACTTCTGTAAAGCCTAGAGGGACTTGCTTGTGTACAACATTTTCGTATGTATGCGTATCTTGATGTTACAATCTCGCTGATGCTTCAAGCGACAACGTATGTATGTACTCCAATTGTCGACATCATAGAAGGAGATCGTGAGCGTCATTGAGTTCAAGTCTTGTTAAAGTGCCTCCATGATCGTCTGCCCCTCTCGTCTTCCCACCATCCTCCAGCCACATCTGGAGCTATCTCGCCAGCATCTACCCAGTAGTCCACGTGCTCAGAGGGTCAACATTCACGAACTCGCTACTCCACGCGCGTACCACTTCTCCCACCCATCGACATGGACGAAGTCATCCCTGGGCTCTGGGTGGGGGATATCACGAGCGCGAAGGACACGGCCGGGCTCAAGAGCAACAACATATTCAGCATCCTTTCTGCTATGCGTGGACGGGTCACCATAAACGAGGTCAGTCCCTTGCGTCTATCTCCAAATCCAAGTTTTGGCACGACGATTGCGTCCCAGACCTTCATCCGGCATCAGATCCTACTGGACGACACAGACGACACCGATGTCCTGGTGCATTTTATCCCGGCGATCACCTTCATACAAAGCGAGCTGGACAAGGGGCGAGGGGTGCTGGTGCACTGTCATGCAGGAATGAGTGCGTGCTCTGCTGTTCTCTGATCGCACAGTGCGTCCGGCTGATTTCGGGGTGGCAGGTCGGAGCGTCACGATCGTGGCGGCGTATCTCATGTACACGCAGAATATCGATGTGGAGAGGGCGTTGGACACGATCCGCGCGGCGCGTCCGAACATCGAGTCAGTCGTCCGGGAACCCGGCTCCGCTTGACTTTCTGACTGTTCGCTGATCATCGTAACCGTCTACTACTACTACACAGCCCCAATCCAGGGTTCTTATTGCAGCTGGAGATTTTTCACAAGGCCGCATTCAAGATCTCGCGACGCGACAAGACGACGCGGATGTTCTACATGGAGCGCGCCGTGGAAGAAGTGATGAGTGCGTGCGCGGCTGGTGCGGCTTGAGAAGACGGCTGATATGCAACTTGAGATGGCGATGGGAGTCTTCCAGAGACGACGATGTTCGCGAAGTACCCACGAACACCGACGGACTCAGCGCCGTCGACGCCGGGGGGACCACGGAGGCGGATCCGGTGCAAAATGTGCCGGTGCGTGCAGCAGTGACTTGCCAAAACATTGAAATTTGACGGGGCCTGAAGCCAGGAGCTCGCGACGCGGGAGCATATGTTAGATCACGGACAGCTCGGTGCACCGACACCTGCTTCCGGGACGCCCGTAGCATCGCGAGCCCCGTCTATGAGCTCCGCGACGCGTCCGAGGCTGGGATCCACGGGCGCTTTCACCAGTGCTCGACCGCGAAGACCGTCTGGGCTGGGAGAGCTCTCAATGTCTGCGCTCGAAATTGAGGAGGAGGAGGACGGCGAGGGCGGAGATGTCGTCTCTCGTCGACCCCCCATACGACGGCCGATCATCCACGGCGATCTGTCGATGTCGATGATGTCAGCCCTAGATACCGAGGACGACGATCAAGACCAGCACCCGATCCCGAGTACCCAGGCTTTTCAAGCTGCGACGCTCTTGGGTCGTAGACTATCAGATGCGGTGCTGGCATCTCCAGCGGCCGATCCTAGCTCGCCGCCCGAGAATCCGTCCCCCACTACCCACTTCTCAAGCGCCGAGGACATGGTCGCGCAGCTCAATGCTCACCCGAAGCTGGCTGCCTTGCGAAACCCGGCAATGACACCTCTGACGCCGCTGCAGACCCCAGGTACCGGATCGTCCACTACTCCATCGCGTCCGCTCCCGATCAGTGCACCGATCTTGGTGAACCCCAAGTGCTCGGGGTATTTTGTGGAGCCTGTGAGTGGAAAACTGTGTTTATGCCGCTTCGTCCGATTCTGACTCTCTGCAGATGAAGTGGATGGAGCCGTTCCTGGAAGACGGACAGATTGCGGGGAAGATTATGTGTCCCAACAAGAAATGCAGTGCCAAACTGGGGAATTACGACTGGGCAGGGATGTGTTGTGGGTGCAAGGAATGGGTCACTCCTGGGTTTTGTATCAATCGGTCTAAGGTGGACGAAGTGGTTTGAATCAAGGCATGTATCATATAGGGTTCACTGCTACTTATGTGAATTAGGACAATCGCATACTACTGTTTGTTCGGTGGCTGAAGGTGCCACACACGAGCCTATAACATACAGTGCATGACTTCGAGCACGACAGTCGATGGTTGACCCTTGGGAGAACGGGTACCAAGATGAGATGATGACTTTGAATAATTTGCCCGCGGCAGGATCTCTCAATAAGTATTTTCCGAATATGTCGCTGCGAAACGATATCTATCGTGAGAATTCACGCAGCCGCGACGAACACTAGAATTATGATTCTGATCAAGGACGAGATCAATTGTCACCCTCTACTTTCCCCACACTCAACCGATGGCTCCTAAAACTTGAAAGCCCAAAGCCCAACCTCATCCATCTCCCCGCACAAAATCATAAGAATGGCAGCCTCTAAAGCATCTTCAGAAGCACCTCCTTCCAATGGCCTCATAGTCAGCCATTCCGCCGTAGTAACCGTCGCGTATAACTGATTGCACTAACCAGGCCGCGGTGGTTGTTTTCTACATTGTTGCTGCACTAACGGTCTGCCTCTTCTCTGAATGTCTGAAATCAGACTCTAACATGATACGGCCTACCAGATGATCATGGCGTGCGTCCCAATGCCCGCCTTTCTGCCGTCCCACTAAACTGTGTGTGTGTGCAGCAACAAATGGGTTCTCAACTCGACCACGGCACCATTCTTCTTCCTCCTTATCCAAATCGTCATAGCCGTCATTCTCTTCCTCGCCGTGGATCTCTTCCACTTGTTCCCGGACCGGCTATCTCTGGACTGGAAGATCTGCAAAGCGCTCGTCCCCATGGTCGCGCTCAACGTCCTCGGCCTGAGTTTCAGCAACCTCACGCTGAAGTACGTCGACGCGTCGTTCTACCAGGTCGCCCGCGGGCTCGTTCTCCCGCTCACGGTCGCCGCGTCGCTGGTGGTTCTGCAGGCGCGGCCGTCCCTGCGGGTGCTGTCCGCCTGCGGGGTCGTCACGGCGGGGTTCTTCTGCGGCGTGCTGCTGGATGGGACGCCGGTGTCGCTGGTGGGCGTGGTCTTTGGCGTGGTCAGCTCGTCCGTGACCGCGCTGGCCTCCGTCGTCATCAAGCGCAGCCTGGATGTGGTGGACGGGAGCAGCATTCTCCTCTCGTGGTACACGAACGTTCTTAGCGTCTTTGTCTTCGTCCCGATGGTGTTCATTACTGGTGAAGGACCGAGTGTGTGGGCCCTGTGCACCGGCATGGCTGACTTGAAGACGTTCTTATGGGGTTCTTTGATCACGGTGGGTCCTGTCCACAGCTTGCGGGTCACATCGAGTGAATGAACGATTGCACATAGGGCGTGGTCGGCTTTCTCATCAGCATAGCAGGAGTGCTCTCTATCAAAGTGACCTCGCCCATAACACACATGGTGTCTTCGGCTGTGAGGGGCGTGGCATCGTCTTTCCTGGGTCTTTGGCTCTTCCACGATTCGATATCCCCGTGCGTTGTTACTTCCAGCTGGACGTCATCTTGAACTGATTTGATTCCAGCGGGAGAGCAGCTTCGATTACGGTTGTCCTCGGCGGCTCAATCTATTATACATGGGTCAAGCACCAAGAGGCTGATGGGAAGGCGAGAAGGGATTCATCGTCACAATACGAGCGATTGGCGATGGATGAGACGGACAGACATAAACTAGGGAATCTGGAAGAGGGCGGAGCACCGCCTTTGCGTACTTAGATTAAATAAGCTGGACTGTGCGTGCAACAACCGTGTCGCATGTGAAACTGAATGCTGCTGTCCAGTATAGACGATCGTGGGCGATTCTCATCCCACGGTATGTCATCAACGCATGTATTTAAAGCCAAGCAGAGCAGCTTGACCAGGAACATGGACAGGATCAGCACATTCCCACTGCTCATAGCCGCTGCTTTCATCCTGAGCCGGCTAGTCAATCTAGTGAGGAGAAAGGTTGGGTCCACTCAGTTTCAGTGAGGGTTGTCGGCTCATTAGGGTGTCGCAGCGTTCACTCGACCACATCCCCAGCGCTGGGGTTCCCGCGGGCCCTTTCGGATTCTATCGAGGCTCATGGAACTTCATCCAGAACGCACGATCGATTACAGATAAAGCCTGCTTGACGGTAAGACCCTCGGTAAATCACCGGATCAAATACATATTCAACGCGGACAGTACCTCGACAAGCCGTTCAAGGTCGCTTTCGCAGACCGCTGGCTTGTCGTCGTTTCGGGACCACTGACTGAAGACATCCGTAAAGCTTCTGAATATGAGCTGTCTCACGCCCAAGGAGCGAATGCTGTCCGTGCTTCAAATCTTTTCGTTGATGCTGGTGCTAAGCGCCGCCGTGCTTAGCTGTTACATATGGAACACTCTCTGGGTCATGAACAGTACCACGACGCGTTCCAGATTCCGGTCATTCGTACCGCTATGACACGCAACATCAGTATTTGTTTCCCCGTCATACACGACGAGGTAGTGGCTGCATTTTCGGATCTCCTGCCCCCCTGCGATGGTATGTTGAGTCGATCGGATTGGATTCCCCAATCGATTAAACCTGAGCAGAATGGCTCAGTGTTCCAGCTATGCAGGTATCTATTGGATGCTCAGTGGCGTCTCCTGTAGCGCTGACGTGTGGCAGACCGTCCTTCCTCTGGTTTCCAGAATCGCGAACCGCTTCTTTATTGGCCTCCCATGTATGTTTCGACTTCAATGATGATTGACGTGCTCCGATACCCGTTCAGGTCGGGATCCGGAATACATCGCGATCACAACCCAGTTTTCGCTGGATGTCACTCGCGATGCGGGCTTGCTCCATGTCACGCCTGCGTTGCTCAGACCGATCGTTTCGCGTCTTTTCGGCCATCTGGAGCCCACGACACGGAAGACTATGAAGCTAATCGGCTCTCTCCTCCAGGAGCGTATCGACATGGACGACGGGCACGGGTCCGCATGGCCAGACGATAATCGACCAGTCGGTGTGCTCCTTGTTCTCCCAAGTGCATTCTTTATTAATCTCATCACGACTGTAGAACGACCTGATCAGCTGGCTTCTCGATGCCGCCCGCGATCACCCGCAGCGACGGAACGTGCCTCGGCTCACTCGCACACTTCTGGCCGTCAACTTCGGGGCCATCCACACGACTACGCAGGGCTTCCTGCATGCTCTCTACACGCTCGCCAGCCATCTGGAGCTGGTGGAGCCTCTGCGGGAGGAGATAGAGGCCGTGGTCCAAGTTGATGGCTGGACTAAACCCGCTCTCGCGAAGATGGTGAAGCTGGACAGCTTCTTGAAGGAGTGCGCGCGTGTTCGTCCTGGTTCTGTTGGTTCGTGGTCCTTTTGAAAAGAGTTTTTGAGTCACCAGCACTCATCTGCGCGTCGGGCCAGTATCTCTCTTTCGTCAGGCAGTTCAGGACTTTGTCTTCTCAGATGGGACACTCGTGCCTTACGGGACTCTTGTCGGTGTTCCTGTCATGCATGAGCACTTCAAAGCAGTACGCACTACCATTCCGCGCGCTTTCCCACGGTATCGACGTCCTCATAGGCCCACTATCCCGACGCCGACGCCTTCGACGCATTCCGGTTCTCTCGGCGCAGGGGCGAGGCCGGAGAGCATTTCAAGCATCAGATGGTCACCCCGCAAGCCGACTTTTTGACCTTTGGCCTGGGTCCGCATGCATGGTCTGTCCCCACTGATTTGTCTCAAAGATACTCTTGTGCTGAACCGGCGTTCGATGCAAAGTCCTGGGCGGTTCTTTGCTGTGACGGTGGAAAAGCTGATGATGGCGCATCTGCTGGTGACGTATGATGTCATGCTGCGAGATTCGAGGCGACCTGAGGATGAGTGCATTTTCGTTATAGAAGGGGCAAATTCGCGTGCCGAGGTCATGTTTCGCAAGCGACGGACTGAGACTTGAAAGCAATGATACTGGGACCTTTTTTGTATTCACACGAAACATTGAGGAAACTCTCCTGGGACGGAGAATGCTTTTCGACAGTTTGCATCGTGCTGTGAGTTGGCGCTGGGCCTTCAAGGTTTGGTAGACGGGACCGGGATTTGGCAATGGTGATAAGTGATAATATTATGGTAGTGTAGTACCTGGTAGTACGCGATTCCATCGCTGTCCAGACGTGTCGTATCATGCACGTGCCTGATCATATGTAGCCTAAGTATGAACTGTCAGTCTTTGGCTCGAGCTTGAAACATCGGACTGCAGTCGTTGGTCTTTCTCGACCCTGAGACCCTGTCTCTCACTTGCAGGTCCTTTTCGTTTCTCGCGCCGACCTTCTGAATGGGCGGTAACCATTCTGTCATCTAGCACACTACATCAGCTTTCCAACTTCTCGTAGTCCAAGGCGAACCTTGAGACTGAACACCCTGGGAGAAACACCCTGAGAGATTCAAACGGTCTAGTTGAGTCCGGTTCCCCACTCAGACTCTGAGTCCCACGGCATGCCACGATGGCACATACTTAAACCCGGCAGGAGCGTGCTCCCAGTCAAAGATGGACTATGCGGCCAGATCTATTCTGCTCACTGCCGCGGTTCTTGGCGCGTTCCAGCTAGTGAGCCGAATCCTGCGAAAGGTTGGCCCGACTCGGTCAAGCCACCTTCTGCAGTGGGCTAATTGTAGGCCGCCCAGTCTTCTCTCGACCGCATTCCCAGTGTCGGAGTTTCCTCTGGCCCATTTGGATTCTACCGAGGCTCGTGGCGCTACATCAAGGATGCGCGAGGGATCACAGAGGAAGGATGCATGCGGGTGCGCGTCCCGTTATGCTTATCCCTCGAGCATGGTGCTGATCAACCTTGCTGGCACTACAGTATCCCGACAAGCCGTTCAAAGTCCCGTTCGCAGACAGATGGCTGGTCCTCGTGTCGGGACCGTCCTTCCTGGAGGATATCCGTAAGGCGTCGGATAGTGAACTGTCCCAAGCCGAGGGAGCGAACGCAGTGCGTCACTGCAGCCGTCCGTCCCTCCAACTCTCACGGCTCTCACAGTTGTTGCACCTGGAGCACACTCTCGGCCACGAGCAGCATCAAGACCCTTTCCAAGTTCCTGTCGTCCGCTCCCCATTGACTCGCAACATCGGAGTCTGCTTTCCGGACATCCACGACGAGGTCGTCAATGCCTTCACGGATCTAGTCCCTCCCAGTGATGGTACGATACTGCGAGTGCATCTGTCAGGCGCTAAACTATTCTGAGCAGAATGGATCAGTGTCCCGGCCATGCAGGTATTCGAATTGGTCCACGGAAGCCACGGTGTCGCTGATCAAGTCTCTCAGACAGTCCTCCCTATAGTATCAAGGATCTCGAACCGATTTTTCATTGGGCTTCAATGTGCGCCAAGGACTGCAAAGTCTGACCTAAAGATCTCATCCTTTCGCAGGCCGCAATCCAGAACTCATATCGATAACGACGCAGTTCGCTCAGCACGTAACCACTGATGCGGCCCTGCTCCATATCACTCCTGGATTTCTGCGCAACGCCGTGGCCCACTTTTTCGGACATCTGGAGTCCACGACACGCAAGACCATGAGGCTTGTCGGGCCGCTGATCCAACACCGAATCGACATGGACGAGCGTTACGGGTCAGAGTGGCCTGCAGGGGATCGTCCGGTATGTTTTCTGGCGAGTCTAGGCCCTGCTCTGCTGACAGACAGAATGCAAGAACGATTTGATCAGCTGGCTTCTTGACGAGACGCGGGATCAGCCCCGCCGGCGCAATGTCCGGACGCTCACTCGCACCCTGCTCAATGTTAATTTCGGGGCCATCCATACCACGACGCAGGGTTTTCTGCATGCGCTGTACACGATTGCCAGCCACCTCGAATTTGTGCCACCTCTACGCGAGGAAATAGAAGCTGTTGTGCAGGCGGAAGGCTGGACGAAGGCTGCGCTCGCTAAGATGGTCAAGCTGGACAGCTTTATGAAGGAATGCGCTCGCTTCACTCCCGGGGGCGTCGGTACGTTACCCTAGCGAAATCAATTGTCCGGTGCCGCACCGCTGATTTTCGCCAGTGGCACTGCTTCGTCAGACTGTCAAGGACTTTGTGTTCTCGGACGGGACGGTTGTGCCATCTGGGACGCTGATCGGAGTTCCGGTTATGCAGGAGCATTACAAGGCGGTGCGTGTTCTGATTCTCGCGCGCTTTCTCTCCCCACCGGCCTCTAAAAGCCTCCGTAGTCGAACTACACGGACGGGCACATCTTTGACCCATTTCGCTTTTCCCGTCTGAGAACGGAAGCGGGCGAAAGCGTGAAGCATCATATGGTCACTCCTCGGGCCGACTTTCTGACTTTTGGGCTGGGTCGACATGCATGGTCTGCCATCTGTCTTTCACACCAATGTATCACACGACTGACTCATTGGCTCGGACTCTCTTTCTCTTTCAGTCCCGGAAGATTCTTCGCGGTCAACGAGCAGAAGCTGCTGATGGCGCATATGCTGGTAACCTACGATGTCAAGCTCCGGGATGGCAAGCGGCCGGAAGATGAATGGATGTTTGTCGCAGGGGCTGCGAATTCCACGGCAGAGGTTATGTTTCGTAAACGCCAAGTTTAGATATGTTACTGCACAGGCGGGAAATCGTATCTTCTCGAGGTTTGGATGAAACACGACGAAGTCACGATCACCCTCAATCACCGAGTGGAGTTAACACACTGGCTCCATTCTCGACCCGTGCATGCTTGGACGGAAAGACCAACTCGAGCACGACCCGCGCGCAGTATTCGCCACACCAAACGCGATGCCTTTCCGCTCCCGCCGGAAATAGCCGCGATCATTTTGTTATCTACCGCCATCTCCCGCGAGTCAGTTGCCCGGCTTTCCGATATGAAGTTCAGCGCCTAGTCTCTCGTGAAGTCTGTCTAATAGATAACTGAATATTGCACGATCTGAAGGCCGGTGCCGCGCAGGGAACAAGAGTCCCCAGCCTTCTCGAACATGAGGCTGTCCGCTCGTTGGATCGTCCAGCGAGCATCGGTTTTTACGCGTACTGCCCCAAATCTCTTCTCGCGTTCCAAATCCGCAGCAACATCCCAAAGATGACAATCCATATCGTCGCCGAAGACCGGGCTGGAGCTCAGTCGCTCCTACTCGCGGATGGATCTGAATCATGTACCTGCGAGCTTCCTTCCAGGGTGCTGCGGAAGGCCGCCGCTGGGAGCCGTTACTCCAACTGGAAATCGAGCTGCAGAGATATTCTGGCACCGCGCTAGCTCGCGGTCAGTATGCGATGCTTCTGGTTGGCTGCGAACTTTCAAGAGATTCGGCCTTTCCCTCCGTCGGAGTGAAACCCGACCATCGATCGTCGTGCGCGGTTCTCCCCGTCCTGAAATTGTCTCTTTCTCTCACCCGGAGCCACGAAGTCGCGCGATCGGCCTGATCCTCGTCCACATTAACTCTGACAATGGTGATATGTGTCAAGAGCTGGACATCCCATCTCAATTCTCGCTGTCGATCTCACCAAGTACTGCAGCCGCTGCGCGGGACCTGCCGAATGCGGTGGGTTTCTAGCCAGGTACGGTGCAGCGGTGAGCCGAGGGGGTGGTGGAATTCCTGGCTTCTGGATTGGACACGAGTCGTGCGGCCAGCGACGGAGACATTCAGCCAGCCCCGTGCTCCATCCCAGCGCTCAGGTGCTTCCGTCATCCCCCCATCAGGCCGTAATGATCCACAGTGCGAGGATCCTCGAGTACATGCATGCATGTTTTACCCGACGTACACGACTCGCGGCATGCCAGGGTCATTGCCGAGACGCGTGCCCCGCTGGACAATGGACAACATCGCGGCTGTCCCCGCTGCAGCTTTCTTGCTGGGTGGACGCGAAGGATGTGGGTGCAATAATTCACCCGGTTTCGGGAGCAGAAACAGAGTCCCCGCCGCCAGTGAGAAATGCACGCAGAATAAAATTGAATTCAGCGCTGCATGTCCGCCGTCTGACGCGATCAGGTGACTGAAGTGGTACGCGATCGAAGCGAGACTCTGATCTGATTGGCGGTGGTCTATCAGGCATACGAATCAGTGTCGGTGACTTGTTAACGGCCGTACCGTCCCGTCATCCGTGCGTGCACGGTACGTATCATCTGAATATCTAGCATGCAAAACTACCGCTCACACCAACAGCGCTGATATCTGCGATATCAGGTTTCTGACGAGTGCGGAGCCCGGTCAGGTGATCAAGTGACAAACGGAACGGAACTCCAGGGCAGCCATGACTTGGACACGAGAGAACGTAAACGCCGCGGTTGCGGGGATAACTCCGGGCAAACCGGTTCCTGGAGGAAAATAGAGGAGACTTGCTCAATATGGCTCCAGATGCCTCCGATCGGCTTTTTTTGTGTCTTGATCGAGTCTGAGGACTTCAGGGGGATCTAAAAGCCACCAAAGAACAGCTGCAGTGCAGGATTTGTTCGCCACGCTCGGTGATAATGTAGAAAAAATGACCCACCACATGAAGTCACGAGTGACGTCGGCAAAGCCCTGAGGCCGGGCCGTCATTGAGACCAGCCATCATTGCCACCTGTCGTCTGGTGCTCTACCCCAATTCCCCACATTCTCGATTGTGACTTCTATTCTCATACGCTCATCTAGATTGGACAGCGATCGACCACTCAGCGACTCCGCATAGACTTGCAGAACATCAGTGCATAGCTTCGAAGCTCGGAAGCCTGGCTGTTTGACGCGTGCGATCGGTGGTCCAAGCGACGAGTCCAGCTAGGGAGCGCTTATCGAGAGGCGAGCTGCGGGGTGTGCGAGGGGCGGGGACCTCTTGTTCTTACAGCATTAGACATGCGCGTGAGAACAGCCGGCCGTAAGCCGGCCCCATGACCTGGCTCATCAGTTTGGGTTATTTTTATCCGGCTTGTTATTCATTTTTGTAACCAACTTATCCCCGCTGAGCGGTGGGTCCCGACCTATAAAGTGGGCCGGAGTAACTCCTCTAATGGCAGCTGGATTTTTTCTCGCTCTCTAACGACCCCACCTCCATGTCGCACGAAAAGACCATCGACGAGAAGCAGCTGGAGGCTCAGATCGAGCACGGCTCGCGCTCTGCCTCTGTCCTCGACATCGACCCGCAGGAGGAGCGCCGACTGGTGCGCCGACTCGACTTGAGGATCCTGCCCATCACCTGCCTGCTGTATCTTTTTGCGTGTCCGTCCGATCCCTTTTTCCGTGCCAGACGGCGCTGTGCTCACTGGATCGTCCTACTAGATCTCGACCGCTCGAACCTGGGCAATGCGCGGCTGCAGGGGATGCCCGCCGACACGCTGCACGGCGACCCGACCGGCAAACTCTTCGACTGGGTCAACTCCGCGTTTTTCTTCTCCTACGTACGCCCCGACACCGGTGCTCTCCGATCCGCCCGTCGCTGACCGCCTGATCACGCAGATCTTATGTCAAGTTCCGGCCACGGTCGTCTCGAAGCTGTTCCCGCCGCGCATCTGGCTGGCGTGTGTCGCCGTTGGCTGGGGCATCAGCTCGACTCTGATGGTACGAAACACGTCCATTTCCACGGGATCACGGGCTCATGATGGTTGCAGTCCACGGCCTTCAACCTGCCTGGTCTCGTGGTCGCTCGCGTGTTCCTGGGTATTTTTGAAGCTGGGTTCGGACCCATGATCCCGGTCTACTTTTGTATGTCGCGCGGCTGGGTGATCCGCATTCCGTCGACTGACGCGTGTGCTGCAGCGTTCTTCTATACCAAGGAGGAGATGGGTGTTCGGGTGAGTTATCGTCGGGTGGCACACCGTGGGCGTTCCTGACCGCAAGTCTGGCAGATGGCCTACTGGTTCGGCTTCGCCGCGGTGGCCGGCGCGTTCGGCGGTCTGATCGCGTTCGGCGTGTCTCATGCGCATGCGGCCCTCCACAACTGGCGCCTATTGTTTATCATCGAGGTGCGTGTGCGCCCCTAGCAACTAGCTAGCTGTTCGCTTTGAGCCGGGCTGACGTTCGCCTTCCAGGGTCTTCCCCCGCTTGTTCTGGCGGTTGTGACGGTCATGTTCCTCCCTAACCGGCCTGAATCGACAACCTTTTTCAACGAACGCGAACGTGCCATTGCCCTGAACCGCATGAATCGATCTACCAGTGGAGACTCCGGAGCCGTTGTCAACAAAGGTAGGAGATGGCTCTATCAATAGAACGATCCCTGTCACTCACTCACGTCATAGGTCACATTATTATGGCACTCTTGGACTGGCGGGTAAGATCGACCGTTGCCGAAACAAACTGCGCCGTGCTGAACGAATTGCCAGGTCTACGCGGGTGGAGCCATCTATTTCGGTCTCAACACGGCGCTCGCATCAATTTCTGCGTTCTTGCCGACCATCATCAAGACCTTTGGCTACAGTCAGTCCCCCTTCCCGCTCTGTTTATCATCAAGTGCTGACGTTGCGCGCGCGCATCAGCCAATGCGAACGCCCAGCTGTTCACGGTGCCGCCCTATGCCTGTGCAGCAGTGATGTTGGTTATCTTCTCCTATGCGTCGGACCGCCTGCAAGTGCGCGGCGTTTTCATGGCCGCGTCGTGCTTCATCTCAGGCATCGGATACGTGTACGTCGTATCCCACCTGGTGTTCTCAGAGCCTCAACCCCTCCCCAGCATCCTCCTCACTGTGATCAACGTCCACGCGCGCTACTTCGCCGTGTTCTGCATCGTCGCCGGGACCTACACAACCATCGGGTATGTCCCTTTCCCGACCTGGCGCGCGCAGCCCGCTGATGACGTGTTCTCAGGCTGACGATCGCGTGGTGTACGTTGCTTCTGCGCTGCTTGGCACCTCCTGTTTCGGGAAATGACTGATCTTTCTCTGTTGGGCACAGTCGCGCACAACCTTGGCTCCGAGACGAAGCGTGCTACGGGCATCCCGATGTTCATGGCCATTGGCCAATGCGGCAGTATCCTGGGGTCCCATTTGTTCCCGCTGAACCAGTCGCCGCGGTATCTGTGAGTCGGGCACAGCTTATCTCGAAAGCCCTTCCATCTGATCTGTCACCAGGCAAGGCTTCGGTGTGTCTTGTGCTTTGGCGTTCCTCGCGGGCGTGCTTTCGCTCGTGCTCTCGGTGCGCTCGATCCGTCTGCCTTGGAGCTTCGGGAACTGACACCCGGCTTAGATGTCATATCGCCTCGAGAACGCCGAGCGAGACAGATTGTACGGCAAACCCGAGCCCAACTCGAAAGTCGATACCAGGGAATTGGCCGACAAGGTATGTGCTCCCACTCAACGTTGGTCCAGCGCGAGTTGCTGAGCAGAATGATTGCTGCGAACAGGCTCCCAATTTCCGCTACGTCCTCTAATGTCCTATATCAAGTAATGCAATGTAGTTTTAGGAATGTCTCATGATTCTCAATGCAAGCGCTCTGCGACGCTACACCACTTCCAGCTTCTCGCGGCTGAGACTGGCGATCATCTCGTCAGAGAATCCTACGTGCGCCTTGACGAGTTGGGCGGGGGTGAGCGCTAGCCACTGGGTCAAGGAGATGTCCTGGAATATGTCGGTCTTGAATATCTCGAGGAACCTGGAATCAATCAGCTGATGAGTCCGATATCATCGTCATGGTTGAGCAACTCGGCTACTGACTTGAGCGGAGTGTTCCCTGTGTTGACCAAGTAGTGACCTGCGTGACGAGTGTGTGTCGATGGATCAATCTCCAGTGGATCAGATCGAGCACGTACCGAAGGAGGGTGGGACATAGCCCACATCTCCCGCCTGCCATCGATGTCAGCGGACTGGGCGACAGGGGTCGAGAAACGGACGAACTTCGAGATCAAACGTCCGGGCCTGCGATGATCCCGCAAAGACGGTCATCCGAGCTTGTCCGCTTCTGCGAATTGCGAAGAAGAGGCAGGTCAGCAAAGAGCCTATGATCCGATCAGTCTCGGACCGACATTATGAACGACCATTCAGGCTGCGTCGGGTGCCACTGGAACAAATGAGCCCGAGAACTTGAAGATGAGAGGCTGCACTGCGACTGACGTGAAGTTCCCTGCAGTGAGGACAATTAGCTTCGGGAGCGGGGTAATGAGAAGGGGCGACTGGACCTCATGCCCCCGACATCCACAGTCACCTCCGCCGCACTGATCTGTGTCGCAACCTTGAAGGTTCGCGAGTCGACGACTTTGACTGTTCCGCCGGGCTTCTTTTCGCCTTGGACTTTCGAGAGGGCGTAGGTGTAAGGGTTCGGCGTGTTGTTGGGGATGACCCTGTCCTCGTCGATGTCTTCAGGAGGCGGTGAAGCTTCGATGTGTCAGTACCCAGATTCAGAAGAGTCGGCACCAGCACTCACACTGGAAGATATACAACTGCTTCTCCGGGATGCGGTCGAACGCGCTGACCGGCTGTCCGAAGTTCTGCGCCAGCACGCCTTTGGGCACGTGCGCGAGCCAGTCGGTCAGTAGGAACGTGTTGTCCTCGGTGAAGCGACCCGAGTCGAAGACGAGCAGAAACTCGGCGCCGTCTGCGGTGGTGTTCTTTGCCTGGAGCGAGTGCGGGTTGCCGGCCGGGAAGTACCAGATGTCGCCCTCTGACTGTGATTTATGCGTAGTTGAGCTTTAAGATTTCTGTTGGATGGGCAGAAAACTTGCTTACCACGTCGCCTACATATATCTCTCCCTCGGGAGTCAGTGTACTGATCCGGATGTGTCCCTGACGAAGTTGAACACGAGCCAAAGCACGACGTGATGGGATCACCAACTTTAAGGACGTAGGCCCACTTTTGAACGAGCATGAGTGATGAGACTTAGCCCGACTGGATGCGACTAACCTCGGCAACGTCATGCCAGTGCAACTCTCTAGAATCTTTCGTCCTAGTGGATTCAAACAGAGATTGATGGCTTACCGGATAGCTCCAGGTTCCAATCGCATGTTGACACCTGCAGAACCAGTCATTCGCGAGGCCTAGTGCTCTTCGATCTAACAGAACCCACGAACCTGCCAAGGCAGTCGCGATCGGCAACGAGTCCACTGGGGCAGATGAGGCGAGAATACGAGAGGGCGATTTAGCCTACCGTTCTGCTGCCTCGCCCATCCCCCGTCGTTCAGCCGCGTGCGACTCATCGCAAAGGGCCACTTCATATTAGGCAGCTGCCCGGAATCGGTCGTCGGCGACGCCAGCGAGTCCGCATTCTGCAGCTCGACGGGGACGTTCTGCGGGCCGAGAATCGTGCCGCCGAGCGCGCCTCGGATGGGCTGCGGGATGATCTTCGAGCCCGCGTGCCACATCTCCGTGTTGGGATCGGCTTTAGCACCGGCTCCGGCATTGGACTGCGGTGCGGGCAGCGAGGCGGCGAGCGAGACCAGGGCGAGCAGGGACAGGGCGAGCATTTCGCGGGACGCTGGGGAGAGGATTGGAGCGGTGGAGGCGTATTTTATACGGCTGGTCTGCTGATAAGGTCTTCTGCCAGGGTCACCCCCGGCGGCTTCGCTTCGAGTTCGGATTCAGCAAGCATCTGGTCAACAGGGTGCAGGAATAGGCGCCCGCGGCCGCCCGGTGTGATCGGCGGAAAGTCGGGCATATTCTTAGAGGAACATTAGCCATGGTCTCTCACCAACGTCGACGATAGTTCCGCTGAAAGATATGTACATCGGCACCGAGGGACGAGTTTAAGATCTGACGCCAAGCTTCCACAGCTGGGGATCGATCACTCTGGCAAATATTCGCCTGAAGGAGAAGAAGAAAATAAGTGCATCGAACCAGATGGGACATAATCACGAGCGGATCGACATCGACACAGGCGCGTCATCACTCGAACGATTGACAAGCCCTGCCAACATTGATGTCACATGATCGCGCGCGGTGTCACGACCATGTGATGTTCGAGACAATCCTCCGTCGCTTCTTTTTACTTACCCCACAACAATGGCCACCGACACCGCGGACGTATTCAGCGACGCACCCAGAATCGTCGACTTTGACGTCCTCGAGGCCTCGAAGGAGAATGTCCAGCGCTTGGCCTCGGGCCGCCGTGCCACCGCTCTGTCGGATATCCTCGCGACTCCACACGCGCAGAGAGACTCGAAGCTCGCCGCGACGCGCAACAGGCTGCGCATCAATGTCGAGATCGCTCTGGAGGACGACGAAGACGACCCACTCGCGGCCTACTGGCGCTACGTCAACTGGACGCTGGACAACTACCCGCACGGACAGAGCGCTGAATCGGGGCTGGTGGAACTCATCGAAGAGGCGACGCGCGTGTTGAAGGACCACCGGGAGGGCCACTGGCGCGGAGAACTCAAATACCTGAAGCTGTGGATGCTGTATACGAGCTACGTGGAGAAGCCCACGATCATCTTCGAGTTCTTGATCGCCAACGAGATCGGGACGGGCTTTGCGCTGCTGTACGAGGAGTATGCGGCTGTACTGGAGCAGGAGGGGAGGTGCGTGTGCCTGGCAGGTAATCCGTGTCGCGTTCGCTGAGCACCCCGTAGACGCAAGGAGGCCGACGCCATGTACCAGCTCGGCATCGCACGACGTGCCACCGACGTCGATCACCTCAAAGCGCGACATGCCGAGTTCCAAAAGCGCATGATGAGCGTGGTCGCACCTGCAACCCCGGTTGAGCCGGCTGTGAATACCCCTGGCCCGCACCGCTCGGCGCGGACTGTGCTAGGCACCAGCAGCTCCTCGTCGTCGGCACTGGCCGCGGCCTCCGGCTCATCAAGAACCCCTCTGCCCGCCGCACAGCGCCCGCCTTCCGCCGCAACGAATGCCCCGTTTCAGATATTTGAGGACTCCACGTCCGCTGCGTCCGCTGCGCCAGGCAACGCGTTTCCGGATGTCGGGACACGTAAGACGCGTGTGAAAGAGAACGTGCCTGAGACACGGAAGATGGCTGGCACGACGATAAAGCAGGCAGGGAAGAAGAAGCGGTTGGCGTCTGGAGGCGCTGCGACGTCGAGTTTCGTGCCTTACGTGGACACGGAGGAAGACGCGATGCCCGCGCCATCGCTTCCAGTCAAGAGCACGATAGCGGTGTCCGTGGATTCGACGCCCAAGTTTGTGCCATTCCAAGATGAGGTGCGTACCGTGCCTTGGCTTGGCTTCAGCTCGGCTGATTCTTGCTAGACTGTCACTGCGTTGAGTACGCCGGCGCCGGAATCGGTCATGAAAGTCAAGATCGCAGCAGACACGAGAGACCCTCCCACCTCTGAGTCCGAGGCGCTTCGGCGCAATCCTCTGAAGAACCACGACGCGTGCTAGCGTGCGCCCATGCAACTTGGATATTCTACCGTAATGTACTAATTCTCTGAGACGAGCTAAAATCTAGTTTTGTCTTATTCCTGTCAGACCGCACGTCGTTTACTTTCTAATCACTCGTTGCGTTGCGTTGCGTTCCAGGCCGCCTTACATACATACCCCATGTTGGGCAACCACTTCTTTTGTGATCCCGAGCCTGACGGAATCCCGGACGCCGGCTCCGCGTGACTTGCTGCGCTGATAGTAACCATTTTCTTGTTCTACACAGAAGAGCGTGAGGGGAACATATCATACCCTTGGTTGCTTGCTGTTTACTGGGACCTGGTTCCGTCGGACTACACTCATTCACTCACTCGTTGGGCAAAGCCATGGAGAGAGCGCAGCCTCCGAGCCCGGTCGGGGGCGGCGGTTGAAAAAAGGATAGGGACTGCTCGGACCTTGGGCCTGGCGTGCGTTCTTGTGCGAAGATGGTTGCTACAGACTCGGAGCTGCAATCCATCGGGGGCTGTCGGAAATCGAAGTGCTCCTGGATTCTCGGTGTCAGCGAGCTCTCTCCACAAGACCCTGAATGGCTGAATGAATGAATGACTGCGGTGATGGTGGTCGGTCCCATCCATCGGACACGGCAGAAGGTTGAAGGACAGGTCTGTGCTCTGATATGTTGCTGCTGGAAGTCTAGTGCAATACAGTCAGTCTACTGCAAGCGCAGAGTTCTGTCGCTGATATTGGATGTAAGGAAGCAGGGTGGCCGATTTGTATTGCGCGTGTGTATGATAACCTTTGAGCTCTGCCTTCCAGGAACTTAGAACGATCGAATTTTTCTAGGCCCTCAGCGTGGCTCAGGAACAGACGAGGAAATTTGAATGTGAGCTAGAGTGGGTGAACATGGCCTGGAAAAGAAGCTACAGAGCACCAAGATTTTAAACGTGTGTTTGGCTTCTGGACGGTGGGGCTCTCGCGCGCGTCGGGACATGAAAGGAAGACACCCACACTCCCTTCCAATGGCTTAGAAATCCGAGAGACGAGCCTGCGATGTTGGCGGAGGGAAACACACCCATTTGGGCAGGAATGATGGGGGCGCAACGCGAGAGTTCCCACGGTTGCTTCCTGGCTTCCCGCCACGAGCACAACGGCATGTACGAAATGACCCACGCCGAGGTTTGCGCTGAACCGCGGAATAGCAGCGGCGTTACTTCTCTCGGCCTGGATCCCATGGAAGCGATTGCTGCTAGCTGCCTGACTAGTCGGTCATCCGTTCTAGAAGCGTCCTTCCCGCGGGCCAGGAATCGGAGCACTGCGCGTTTTATTAATGACTGATGCAGCTTTGGGAACTTGTACAAAAGGACTGGGTGCTTGATGGGTGTTGCCTCACTTCGCAGCAGCAGTAGCAGCAGCAGCACATCCTCCCAGCGACATACAGCTCTTCGAGTCACACATACACACAACATATCCGACCATGCGTTGCTCCTCCACTCTCCTCGCCATCGCTCTTGCCTTCTCTTCCATGGCGGCAGCAGCTCCAGTGACACTCGAAGCCCCCTTTTCCGAGACGTCCGCCGTCAGCACCAGTGCGGCTCCAGCTGCAGATTCCGTCGTTCTGTCCAGCCAGGAACAACAACAACAGCCTATTCCGTGCGCATATTTCTCATTCCCTTGATACAAGACATCGATCTGACATGGTATTTCTCTCTTCAGATCAGCCGTGCACGGCTCTGATGCATTCCATCTGGCTGAAAAGAGTCGGCGCCGGAGCTTCCGTCGGTGAGCATTCTCCGCCCTCCTCGCCTGTTATCGCACGGATCCTGATTCTGTCTTTCTTTTTTCAGTCGCCACCCTTGAGGAGCACTGCGGACTGAGCGGCCCGGCTATCTATGTCCACGAGCGATCGTGAAGTATACCCATTGTACCATCTGATACCCCATGGTTCGTCGCATTTATTCATTCACCCGATCTCAGACAGGAAACTTACCAACTGTGCAGAATCATCAATTGAACTCGAACGATACCTCCCTCCTACCTAGACCGGGAACCCAGCGATGTATTTTTACGAACACAATTTTGTTACGAGATCACAATGGAATGAATTGCCGAAATGGATTGCTGAGAAGCCTCAACTGGAGAGTTCAACAGCGAACGCGAGAGCCAATTTCGAGAAGCTGACGAGAGGTGAGTTCAAATTGGGAGCGAGAACCGATGGAAGGGACGCACTGAAGCATGTGCGAGTAAGAGAATTCGTGTGACACATGGATGCTGTCCTGGATCGTGTGGATGTCTAAGTGTCGCCGTCAGTTAAACACTCATCAAAGGAGCGAGAAATCCCACGAGGATTAAAGTTGACCGCGCGGCCTTCAGTTCCGCAGGACGCTTGGTATCCTGCCCATGTCCAGGGCATGTGATCGCTTCCTGCGCCGCCCGGCAGGGCCTCACTTACCCAGGGAATATCAACTGCGAAGGGTCGGATTCTCAAAGAGGATATGGCCCGAGCAATCAAACGACCCACGGTAACGATCCACGAGCTGGGTCACAAATTCAGATAATTTCGGGTCGACGGCATTCGAGAGCACGTTGACCCTCTCTTGCGATCCCGATTCAAGCCACGCCTGCTTACGTTCTGCGATCAGAAGCTGGGAGCGATGGAAAAATCGCGAACAGTCATATCGAACTGGATCATCCCTTTGATCTCTTTCTTCGCTGCTTCATACGCCGCGACTACGGCCAGCGAGCCGAGTCCTCCGCCCTTGGGAGTTCAAGTAAAGTTCTTCCGGTTCAAGATGAGCACGCACCTCTTCTGCCGAATAGAAATGGAACTCGACGGGAGAAGAGGGAATGTAGTTGCTCTTCAGCAACCCTGCCTAGATGTAAATGATGCTCCAAAGGGAGGGAAGCAAGCGGGAAAGACAGACCCCGGAAGGCCTCCAGAATAGTCATAGTGCCGGAACCGTCATCGTCTGCGCCTGGGGCAGGGAAAAACGGGTTCTCGTGGTTGATGCTGTCACAGTGGGCGCCGAGGACTGTGATGGGATCAGTCTCTTGAGCATCTTTAGGCGCGATGCGGATGATCTGGATCGCAAAAATTGAGCTCAGCACCAGGTGATTATAAGTACTTGGGCGTGACTGACGATCGAGTTCTGCTTCCACGGATGCTGGATGGGCGTGATCGAGATCAGTTCCTGCAGCTCGTGACTGCCCAACGTTGTCGTGTAGCTCTGTATCTTGGCCAGCAACCATTCCGAGCTCGCCCTCCCGCTGTCGGAGTTGTAATACCGCGTGGGGAAGGCAGTCGTGAAGTGCTCGAGGTTGTTCTGCATCTCGTCCGTGGAGAGGAGCGGCAGCATGTCAGCCACGAGCGTCGAGTTCGGGGGCGAGTACGTGAAGCGAGTCTTGTTGAAAACGCGGCCGAAATCTTCTGGGGTGTGAGTGCTGTCAGAAGTAATGGGTCTTAGTAGTCGTTCGGTCATAGCGAGCAGCCCTAGGCAAGCCTTACATGTCGAAGTACGCCAGTCCTTGGGCTTTCGCCAGCAGTTTGTCCCTCTCGGTCATCCAGGTGGCCTCCTCATCACCAGGGAAGAGCTGAACCAAGCGCAGTTCTTCCGAATTGGCCCCTGGTGGAATGTTGGGAAAGGGTCTTGACCGCGCTCATAGATGCGTACGCACACAGTGGGCTCGATGCGAGCATGGGAGCTTGGTCATACGAGGCGGCAACTGTCCCCGAGAGCCATGCACTCAGCACATAGCAAGTGACCACGGTGGTAGAGAACAGCATGGTCAGTCAAAGATGGGAAGCCCAACGCTTTCCGCAACTGCCAAAGGTCGGCAGCGAGATGACTGTCAGAAGACGCTTTTGGGGAGTTATATCGTCAAGTATCACTTTTAAGAATAGTTCACTTGCTGGCAAGTGTAGCCTTTGACGAGGGAGAACAGAACACAGGTCACAAGTACTAACGGTTTAGGAGGTCACAAGTACTAACGGTTTAGGGCAATGGTGATGACGTCATCCACGACTATCCACACCACTTGAGATGAGATGAATCATCATCATGTCAATGAGGATGAGGACGAGATCTGACGAGATGCCCAGTGCTACAATTACATATTTAGAAGACAACCCTACTGACAATATTGTATTCACTGGACCCCACTATGGCAGGTCCCTGCACTCAAACCTACTAGATGGCAGTTTTTGACGCGGCTATGCGTCGAAAGGCGCTCGCAAGCGTACCTGGTACGCTTTTCACCTTATTCTAGCCCTCTGACCATATTGAAGCCAGTGAGTGGATCGGTATGTCCTCGGCCTCTGTCCGACCGTGACGTTGGAGAGGACGTGGTGTGACTGAGAGACGACAAATTACAATTGGCATTCTGTGTGATCGGCTGGCTAGTGGCGGGCGCTCGCCAAGCCTCCTACTACCCGCGTCCCCTTGGTTTTGCTGAACGACTCCCGGGGCCTTATACTTACTGACTACCACAACGGATGGGATTATCCTTTCCCGAAACGCCGCTCCCTCGTTGTGTCCTGCCCCATCCACAGTCGGACATGCACTCTTTTTATGATCTGCACGATGCTTCATTGGCGGACGGCGATCAGCTCTTTCTACAGATTCCACCGCCGTCTTACGAGCAACATAACACCGACCCTGGCTTCGTGTTCGATTCAAAACGGGCTCCGCGACCCTTGCCGCGCCCCCCGCCGTCGGTGCACAGGGCAGCCACGACTACGAGCGTGACGTCATCTGTGTCCTCGTCGACCGATTCCACGTCATCTGGGCCCATGCTGCAACGCCGTGCTTCCGGTGGAGACGCGCCGATGCGCAGGAAAAAGCTGAAGCTGGGCCGCCAGCTGTGTGTGATCAATCGCACCGAATTCGATTCGCCCGTTTCCCCTCCTACATCCAGGGCGGGCGGTGGCGCGTTTCTCTTTCCGCCTCTGCATGTGTCACTAGACCCTCCTTCGCCCACAAGTGCTTCGTCCGCGGGGACGCAAGGCCTGCCGTCACCGTCGGGTTCAGCTGAAGCACCGGTTCCCGATGACATACTTGTGCAGAATGACATCGAAAGTGAGGGTTCGGGCACGGGTCGCAACCGGAGGCGACTGGCGCTTTCGTTGAGCTCGCTTCCGGCGCATGAACTTGCGGCATTGCGAAACGCGGGGGAAGATCAGGAAGAGAGCGATTGCGCTCATTCTAGTTTGTGTTCGGAGCGGGGACTGTCATCGGCTTTGGTGGACGGCGAGGATGAAGACAACTATACTCAGACTGCGCTTCTGATGCAACTGTCGCCTGAACATGCCACAGCTGTTCCACCGCATTCAGCTAGGCTGACTCTGGAGGATTTGGGTCCAGATCGATGGATATTGGAACGTTATTCGTATATTTTAGATGCTTTATAATGTATCATCTACTAGCGGCCCTTCGATGCGGGGTGATTTCCAGTTCATAGATCGTGAGAGGTTGGCCCATGGCACATATGTCTAGTGTACAGCCTCGGTCACCGAGCACCCCCAACCTGGTCCGATTCAAAAGCGGTTGTTTGTTCTTGATCTACAGTGCAAACAACCCCATATTGCGGCCTCATGCATGTTCCACGACTCTAACTAATCCTTCATGCCGTCTCAGAGAGCAGACGCCGCCACTATCACGCCTTATCTTGATCACGTCGTTACCCACCACGGGCAGCGCACTCTGATCCCGGCCGACAACAATGGAAGGAGGAGGAAGGCGAAAGAGGCGGTCTCGAGGACCCGTTCGCGGCAAGAGCCGGTGAGGCAAGAGAGCGGGAACGGGGGCTCACCGCGTCGTGTAACGGGGCGTCCCCAGCAAGTAGATATGCCTTTGTGGCCTCTTCGTCGCCAGGCGCGTCAGGACGGTGCGTTGATGACGCTGAGGCTTGTGAGCCAGTCTGACGCATTTTCCTTTGTTCAGATGAAATTCCCGATTATCCACCACCTTCGTTCCAGGAGGCTATGCTGTCTCCTACGGTGTCGGTGTGTCCGAGCACGATCACGCTCGGGCAATATTCGACGACGACATCTCGGCCATCCCAAGAGGCGGGATCGCATTCGCAGTCGGACTCGGAATCGGAGGATGGCTCGCTTGACATCGTCGACCCCACAGACACGCACATAACTGCTGGCTCCCCCTCAGTGGCAGACCAATCTTCGGTCCGGTCGGGGGGCACAGAGCCGCGAGGACGAGGGATTTTGGACTCCGATCCGGACGACACGGGATGCAGTGCTTTGTCCTCGCTGCATCCCAAAGCACATCGGCGGCATCTGTCACTATCACCCCTTCGTACACTGTTTCCGGCACGCAATCACGGGCAGCGCGATTCGGCTTCGGTGCAAAGCATCCCTTCTCCCTATTCTATTCGCAACTCCCCATTCTCTCAAAGCACAGTCTCTTTGAGGAACAGCCCGCCCCCGCTATCGCCATCGTCTGGAGTCTTTCCGAGACGTTTTTTACCGCACAAGGGGAAGGAACGTGCGCGCGCCGAATCTTTAGACTCATGGGAGATCGTGGAATCGCAATTGGCCGCTGAGGACCTTTTGCCGCCCGCATCTCCATCTGGATCTCTGGTTGATGAAAGATCGACCATGAGCCCTCCTTCCATCACGCTGGCACCACTGGTCTTGCGAACAAAGAAAGCGCCGCCTCCACCTCCGCCGAAAAAGAAACCGCAACTGCGGTCGTCGCCCCTTCGTCCTGGATCACCGCTGGATGTTGATCTCGACCGCGCGGTCAGGACGCCCTTGCCGATGACGCCTGTCTCAGGGTCGCCACCGGTCCTATCTATCGCATCACCCTTACAAGCGCCGGCTTCGTTTCTTCGTTCGCCTGCAGTTGCTGACGATAATTCTCAACCGGCTCAAGAGGAAGTGGGGATGCTTGGCGGATCTTGTCCACAAGCGGCGCCCGAAATTGTACTATCCATTCCCCCACTCAGTGCGGCGACGCCGGTGAACGAGTCCCCGCCTCGACAACATCACTACTTGGGGCGCCCTCTTCCTCGCCGACCGCGGCGGGTCGTCGATTCGACTTATGCTCCCAATCCAGAAGTGCAGCAGCAGCAGCACCCCGAACCGTTCCCGGGAGGAGTGCTCATCGACCTGGAGGCGGAGCTCCCGCCCAGCCCCGTGGGGCTTGGGGTTCATAGCAATTTATCCAGGGAACCAGGGCCAGAACCGGGAGAGAGATGCCCCTCCATGACGTCCACTGCGGGGCAGTCGGCTATCGTTCTGGAACAACATTCAGATGTGCAGCAGTACCGGACCGAACTTCTCCCAGGGGGAGTGCTCATAGACCTGGAAGCAGAAGCTCTGGACTCTCCCGTGGGAGGCAGCAATTTATCGCGGGAAATAAGGTCAGAGCCGGCAGCGGCTTTCCCGGTCATGCCGTCAACCACTGCAGGACAGCCGGTTATCCATCTGGTTGCACCGGATATGCACCGGGCTTCTTCGGCTTCGTCCGTCGACTTGACGCCAACGCCTACGAGCGAGTACCTGGACGTCACGGATCTTGATATGCTCCTCGCGCGACTGGAGGGAAATCAGCATGACGGGTCTGACTACGATGTGAGTGTGTCACCCTCTCGGTGTCTGTCACCATCATCAAGTCATCCACTCACGCGATGTGACGTTACAGGCCCTCTGGATGGTCTCAGAGTTCATCGGACCGGCAGCGCAACCCGCAAGGAAAAACACCTCGGCCCTTCTTCATGGGCGAGTTGAGATCCAGCGACGACGAGTGACAAAAGAAGGACGGGTACGGATCAAGCCGATGCTGTTGGGTATCGGCGTTGACCGATGTGGCATCTGCATGAGTCAGTTCAAGAAGGCCGACGAGGCCCGCATGAGCGAAAAGTGTAAGCACTCTTTCCATGCACGGTGTCTGGACCGTTGGCTGGCCCGCAGCCAGACTTGCCCTATGTGCAGAGTGGCATTGAGAGTCTAATAGGCCCACGATTTTGTAATACAAGCGATAACATGTAGTAGTACTTGGCCAGTATGTTGTATGTACTTCTTTCACATGTAGCATCACTCGGGAAACATGCCTTGGTAGCACATTTGATGGTTCCATCGACTTCCATATGCTCCATCTCCTGTCTTCCTTTTTTTTCTGGGGTGACAGGGAGAAAGATTGCCCGACCCGGCGCGACGCGGCGTAAGTGCAATGACGAGTCTCCGACCCTGCCGTTCACAATTTGTGGGCCTATGCGACGATGGAAGTCGCAGTTCCTTTACAGCAGAGGCTATCTGTGTTATGTACGCACGGACCCGCTGTATTACACGGCTGTCCTCTCGGCTACCGTAACCAGGTTCCAAGACAAGTAACAAGATTGCCTGTTTCGGACATCACGAAAAACTTGGACGATGACGTTAGGGACACTCTCGGCTTATAGATATATGCGCGCCTCCACATGCATAAAACCGATTCCACCCCGCTGCCAGATCCTTGCACGGCTTCCCCCCCATTCACGCCCCGCGATTTATAATCTTACGACTCCAGCTGTCTGATTCCAACCCCGCACTACCTCTATCAACACCTACAGGATGCCGGCTGCAGCAGGAACAGGAGGGGGGATTAACAATGGAAGTTTGCTATGGGCCATGGTGATGAGTGCCTTCGCTGGTACGTCAGCCCTCTCGTTGCTATCCGAGATGCTCACCTTCTGTCCACAAAAGCATTCGGTGGTATTCTCTACGGGTAAGTGCAGGTGCCCTCATCCTCTTCCATGCCCAATCTCATGCCGCATTAGTTACGACACGGGTACCATCGGAGGTGCCCTGGCAATGGTCGACTGGCTAGAGACGTTCGGCGCCCACGACTCTACTGGCGTTCTCGGGCTCGAGTCTAACGGATACTATGTGAAGACCTCGAACAAGAGTCTCGTCGTTCGTCCCTGTCCCTGTTTCACCTCCCGCGCACGTTTTAAATGCGTCATCTAGGTCTCTATCCTCTCTGCGGGAACATTCTTCGGTGCTCTGGTCGCTTACCCCATGGGCGATATTGTCGGCCGTAAGTGGGGTATTATCGCCAGCTGCTGTGTCTTCTCGCTGGGTGTCGGACTGCAGTTGGATACCCAGTGGGCGACGTTCATTGTGGGCCGTTGTACGTACCTTCTTCTAAGGCTTTGTGTTCTTTCCTCAACTGCCATCCAAGTCATCGGTGGTATCGGTGTGGGCCTCGTCTCGGTGTTGGTTCCCATGTACCAGAGTGAATGCGCACCGAAGCAGATCCGTGGTCTCATTGTCGGGCTGTACCAGTTCGCCATCACCATCGGTGCTCTGCTCGCAGCCATCGTGTCCAACGCAACCAAGAACCGCGCGGATCACAACGCTTGGAGGGTGAGTCCCTTCCGCCTGGCCACACCCCTCCCCCCTCATCTCTTTCCTCCAGATTCCTATTGCCCTCCAGTTCGCCTGGGCTCTGATTCTCAGCGGTGGCATGGCCATGCTCCCGGAGTCGCCGCGGTACCTGATGTACAAGAATCGTGTACCTGAAGCGCGCAAGAGCATGGCCCGATTGGCTAGCGCACCTGAAGACTCGGAAATCGTTTCTGCTGAGGTCCGCGAAATCGAGCTTGCCCTTGCAGCCGAGGCGAACATCGGAAATGCCAGCTACCTGGGTACGATTCATGTTTCTTAACTATCTCTCCGGTGCTCATTTATTCCGTGCAGACTGTTTCCGTGGTGGAGAGTACAAGAACGGATTCCGAACATGGACGGGTATTCTCATCCAAGGAGTACGGATGTCTTGCTGGTAGCTCGCTGCCGAGGCGCTGATCATCCTCTTAGTGGCAACAACTCACCGGAATCAACTTCATCTTCTATTATGGCACAACATTCTTCTCCAGTGCTGGTATCAAGAACCCATTCATCATTACGTATGCCGCTGTATAGTGCTCATGTCTATCTTTGCTGACGGGTTTCCAGGATCATCACGGATGTTGTTAACAGTGCGTCAATCGAACTGGAAACAATGAATGGCGTCTAATGGTCCCACAGGTGTCATGACGCTCTTTGGTGTGCAGCTCATTGACAGAATCGGACGTCGTCGTCTGCTTCTCATCGGCGCCGCCGGCATGCTCGTCAGCCAGTATATCGTTGCCATCGTGCGTTTCCATTCCCTGATCCAATCCCCATGTAATTCATTGTAATCTCAGGTCGGTGTCACTGCCGGACAAGCTACGGCATCTGGCGCTGTGAATCTCGCCGCGCAGCGTGTCTTGATTGCATTCGTGTGCTTCTACATCTCGTTCTTCGCCATCTCTTGGGGCCCCGTGACTTGGGTCGTCGTCGGCGAGATCTTCGTGCGTTTTTTTTGCCTGCATGCAATGAGGCCAGTGCTGACCGTGCCCGTCAGTCATTGAACCTGCGTGCGAAGAGCATGTCGCTTGCTGTTGCCAGCAACTGGCTCTGGAATTTCGGTATCGGGTGCGTGCCAATTCTCCTATCTCTTCTATCTAAAATTAATTTACGCGTAGATACGCGACCCCGTATCTGGTTGATCCCTCTACCAAGGGCCAGCCGAACGGTGTTGCCACTGCCGGCCTCGGTGTGAAGGTCTTCTTCATCTGGGGCTCGACCTGTGTCGGATGTCTCATCTTCACGTACTTCTTCGTGCCCGAGACCAAGGGCTTGTCGCTCGAGCAGGTGGATCTGTTGTACAAGAACTCCACTAGTGAGTTTTCTGCGTCAATTGTTTGCTGTTTCCTGTGTACTGATTACACGCAGTCCGTGGATCGGTCAAGTACCGGGAACACATGTTGGATGCCGACGCCAGCTACACTGGCAAATCTCAGACGGAGCACGTCGAGAAGGTTTGAAGATATTTGAAGGAATGATTTAGGAACAAAATCTATGCTAAGCTTCACTAATGTGTGTTCACGATCTCGGATACTCCGACGCACGAATAATGATAATATCTGATCATGGTCAAAACAAAGTGTCCCATTCCGTCCCATCGCAACTACTAGTACTAGATATAACGAGTGAAATATACATTGATTACATATTAGTGTCTCTGTAAATCTGTCCGTCTGCAATGGGTCATTCAGTACTCCAAGTCGGCGCGGGTTTATGACGACGCACATCCGCAATGTCTCGTACAGAAACTTGTAGCTCTTGAGGTTGCCTTTCAGCCGTCGGATGTCCATGCTGTACATATCCTTGAGCCTGTCGAGACGCGTCAGCTCGACTGAGAACCGGACTTCGTCTCCGATATCCTCAGACGGTTCCCCATACACTGCATCGACTTCGGGTGCGGAGACGGGGGAAGTCAGATCCCCGTTCTTCTCTGACGCTATGGAGCGAGCGGGAGACGGCGCCCGACGCGGCATGAGGCCACGGAAGACGCGACTGCCCTGCAAGAAGGATGAGCTACGGAACAGCGAAGGAAAGATCATCTGCGACTTGCCCGGGGCTCACTGCGATCCCGCAGTCTCGAAGGGCGTGTGCACCGGAACTTGAACTCTCCCTCAGATTGCACCGAGACACCCATCCCAAGTAACACCTCTCGGATATGTTGCATGACTTCTGGGGGACGGCTGGCCGTGATCATCTCGTGGTCGACCGCTCCATGGTGGACCCGTAAGACGGACTTGCTGCTCCGCTTCGTTGTCTGGGATCGCCGGAACAGAGATGTGATGGACACCGCAGAGCTCGTCCGTTGTCGGTGTTCTTCTGTGCCAGGCGTGACGAGAAATGGCTGCGCCACCTCGACGGATGACGCCGCCGCACTTGGCTGCGGGGGAGGAGACGAAGAGACGGCACCGGACAGCGGGCTGGACGTGCTGGTGGTTGTCGACCTCCGGCCGCGGCGGAACCACTGCATGACTTTGTTTTGCTGCTTGGGCGGCAAAACCGGAGGCGAAGACGATGAAGAATCGACGATGAGAGGGTGCAAGAGTGCTCGCGCTTCGCTTCTCGACATGGTCCCGGGAAGCGCTTCCCGCGAGCCGATCACACCAGAAACAGAAGACGAATCCTCGATGGGAGGCAGAGGCTGGCCGTTGGAAGAGGATGATGTTGACGTCGAAACACCAGCTACGATTGGATTGTCCAGGATGGATGGTCGTCGCCGACGTGGTGAAACAGGAATTTTCGCGTCGGGGGGTGGCAATTCTGACATTGCTCGTTGTCGGCGTTGAGTATTGTGGTCTACCTGGATGGTGTGCCTCGTTCGGGATTCTTCAGCGACGAAAGCCGCTTCCGAGCCGGAGGGGCTATCCTCTACGACCGGTTTCTTAAGACCCTTACGCCTCTTCCCGGCACGTCGGTAGGCCAGCATAGTCGTCGCTCCGTCCTCTGCCAGCTTCTCCAGTTCAGCTACGGTCAGCCCGAACGTCGTTGCTTCGCGCAGATTTATCTGAAACCACGGGTGACGCATGACTGTGACCAGCTCGCAACGCAGAACAGGATTCGGCACTAGCATCAAGCACAGCAAGTCGCGTGCATTGTCAGAAACATGCTCCGCAAAAGACACGGGCGTTTTGGAAATGTATGCGTAGAGTTTCGAGATGTTCTCCGCGTCGGGGTTGTCCGGATCGTCATCGAACGGGAGATAACCGGAGAGCATTGCGTACAAGATCACACCGCAGCTCCACACATCAGCGGCCGTGCCAACGTACGATCCTTCCTGCATGACCAGCTCGGGTGCGGCATAGCACGGCGAGCCACACATCGTTTCCATGAGCAAGTCCTTCCGCTGGAACTGGTTGGCAAAGCCGAAGTCGGTGATCACGAGATTGCGATTGCGGTCGAGTAGTAGGTTCTCGAGCTTGAGATCTCGGTGAACGATATTCTTCTGATGCATATACCAGACACCCGACACTAGCTGTGCAAATAACCGCGCAGCATCGCGTTCCTTGAGGTGTCGGTGTGCTAGGATGTGGTCGAATAGCTCTCCACCAGCAGCGTACTCGAGGATGATGCCAAAGAACTTGTCTGTCTCGAAAACGTCGTACAGTCGGACGATATTCGGATGTCGGAGGCTCTACACCAGTCGTCAGGAAACAGCCCACCAGCTTGAGATCAACGCACGTCAAGTATCTCAATCTCTCGCGCAATCTTCGCCATTTTCGACTCATTATGCACCGACTCCCGCCGTATAAGCTTGACCGCAGCCTCCTCTCCATACTTGCAATGTATGCCGAGCTTCACTTTGCCGAATTCACCTTCGCCCAGAGTCTGCAGCATGTAATACGAGCCAAACTTGGGCAGCGCCCCCCGTTTCGGGTGATTCGCGACAAACGCTACCACAGCCGGATGGGCCAACACGTCGCGGATTGCGGCGGACGATCGCGTAGCCGGCGCAGCGGATTTGGACGAAGTAGGCGTTTGGTGATGGTGATGGGAGGCCACCCGTTCGCGTTCGCGATGCCGCGGAGTGCCGACGGCCACCGACGTCGCTGCCTGGCGTGGCGCACGCGCAGGCGGGTCCATAGGAAAGGAGAGAGGGAAGAGGGAGAGGAAGCTTGGGTTGCGCGACGATTCCGTTTATGGGATTATCCGGTGTCGAGACCTTTGATATCAGAGAAACGTTGATAGCGGCTACTTCTCCGCACGTTATGGGTCAATGAGTGAAGGCGTGAGGATTTAGGGAATGAAGGCAAGTCTGTCGCTGGCCGCTTGTGCAAGTGAGTTGTAGAATGGAAAGCGGAGAACCACCATGCCTCGAGGCTGATCCAGACCCAGGCACGTTGGTTAGCTCGGAAGGTTCTGAGAACAATCAATGGTGAGATCAAACTGACTATAAGAGGCACGGCACACAGACCAGACCAGACTCATAGCGCACTGCTGGACGATGCTGTACAAGCCGCAAAACAAGCGCCTGACGGGCCGATACGTAACCGCATAAGGCATGCTTGGTGTTTGTGCAACCGACATTGACTGGTCGACTTTCGCAGCTCAGTATCTCTGGTAACCGATGGACCATGGAGGAGTAAGAACAGGTGCCGGAATCCACGTGATAAATAATGCGTGTGAGGTAGACTAGGAGTGTCAAGATGTAAACAGATGTATATGTAACGAGTGCAGTGAGTGATAGGGAGCGTAGTAATAACAAAGGAATGAGCGCATATACCTGTGTGAAATCTTGTACAAGTCCTAAAACAACAGCAAGGAAGTGACCCGACTATGTTGACCCCATGGAGAAAGGATGGATGAACTTGCTTCACAGCTTGGCCCTAGCTCGAGGCGCGGGCCGTTTGTCGTATCCCTCGAGCTCCATCTCCGATCTAGTCCGCATCTGGGGGTCCTGGAGCATATACTCGTGGATGACCTCTAGCAAGTAGTCGTAGAACTCCTCCATCAGCCCGTCGGCAAACACCGAAGTTTCCCACTGCAGCATCATGTGGAAACGGCCGAAGAAGGTTCGAGTGTAAAAGAAAAGCCCGCCAGGGCCTTTGCGAGTTGCTCCGACGACATCCGTCACCTTGATTGTCGGATAGCGCTCTGTGCGATAGATCCCGGTCGTCAATCCGACTTGCGACACACCAATCAGGGCGATGGATGGGACAGCCGGAGCCTCGGCAGCCTTGGCCACGACAGCGACTTTGGGGCTGGGGGGCAGCGTGCCATTAGCCTCGTCGTCAAAACGCGCCCAGTGTTTGGCACGCTCGGCGCGTTCAGCTGCAGCAGCCAGGGAGCGACCGGCAATTGACGGGTTGCGAGTGTACGTGTGCATTTGCTTCTGAACATCCCGGGACCGCTGCCAGAACGCCTTGTGCTTGTCTCGAGCGGGAAGGAAAGCAGGCAGCATCACGTTATGATACGTCAGCGCAAGAAATGTTTTGGACGCCAGTTTCGACAGTGGATGCAGCTGGGCATGAATGTTGATGGCAGTGTACATGAGGATCGGAAGTGTCTTGTCGGGAGACAAATCCGGTCGTCGTTCACGCAGAAGCAGATATGCAAAGCTGATGACTGAGAACATGGCGCTCTGTATTGTCACGGCTTCGCGCTTGCACTTTGACAGCATGGTGGTTGATTGTCGCGGGCTGAACTTGGCCTGAAGTAAACGACAGTGATGGTCGTATGCCTTGGACCGAGGAAAAGCGTGTGCGCCCTAACGAATTGAATTGCAGAGGAATCATGATCAGAGTAGAATATATACGCACGCTGAACTGCTTCTGGACGTTCTCATAATCCGTCTTATACTCGGCCAGGTCTACGGCGGATTGGGGAACCTTCAACCGGGACTCGCTGGACGGAACAATGGCATCCTGAGCGTCTTGAGGACGATCCCAACGTCGCATCCACTCGGATTCCAGCATCTTGACCAGTTCTGCGTCCGTTTTCGGTCTCAACTCCGAGCCATAGTGACCGCCCATCATCTCCAACAGTTCGTTGTGCAGAGCGTAGATGCCTCGCGCATCGAGCACGAAATGCGGCGTGTAAAGCATCATTTTGTAAGCCCCGACACCGGGAGACACATCATTCTCGAGCTCGACTTGAAGATACGTCAGCGAAGCGGCCGACAGCTTGCGCGTCTGGTTCATGCAGTCGTCAATCAGCTCTGCACCGGACAGCCCTGCGAACGTCGTAAGTGATCGGCTGCCTTCTTCCATCGCCTCCATCGGGCTGGCAGGTGGTGTGTAGCTAGAGCCTAGTGTCAACCGCGCAGAGGGGTATAGAAGCGCCGGACTCACACGAAGCAAGCCTCATCGTATCGCCCCGCTTCCATCTCGACCCGACTTGCCAGGAGCGAATGCCTCAACCGCAGGATTGCCCAGGCCGTCCTCACACGGATGGGGGTGATCAAGTCCTTGGGGGCCTCGAAAGTCAGCATCACTGCAGCGGAAGGTCAGTGGGGCATCGTCATTGCTTGTGTGTGCAACGAGACCATTGATATCGTTCATCCCGAAAGCTCGGCTGGGCAGATAATACGACCTGTAGCGGCTAAGCCAAATAGCAGAGATCCCTAGCATGAGACTGACAGCTCGTTGTCGCTGAGTGCGCGGCGGAATGTGGGCATGGCTGAACGGTCGGTCGTCGACGACGACGCAACGGACGCGACTTTTTGAGGAGCGGGGCCAGACGGAGAATGCAGGGTCATTCTGTTTGATCAGGGAGGAGGCGAAGAACAAGAAGAAGAATGGGCTGGATCACCGCTTGCCAGGGGCTATAAAACACACGGCTCAGGAACCAATAAAGCCCACTGGCAGCAGAGAGGTTGACGTGGAGATGGCAGCGGTTACCAGGGTGCTGGAAGATGCATTTGCTGCACAGCGGGGAGAGAGAAGGCAGACGGTGCTCGAAGTTCCTCGCTACTTTTGCACTTGCATAAGGAGATGCATGGATCGACGGTGGGATCGGCTTCAAGGCCCACTCGAGCGGAACCTTGGCGAGCGTGGCTGTGAAGCTGAATTATGATGTGATCCGCGGCGCTGACAGTTTGCCATCTGCATGCCACCACACCTTGTGCCAGTTGGCCACCCGTACGAGTTCGCCGCACCCCGAGAGATCACCTCAGCTCCCTTCACCCGCAACCCAGTGCTCGGATTCTATCTTATCCCGTGCGGGATCATCGTCGTTCAACTGTTTCCCGACTCTATGATACGATCACCGCACGTACATTCGTCTGGTTGCGGTGGAATCCGGAAAGCTAAGGAAGAAGCTGAAGTGAAACAGCGATGATAGCCATGCGGAACTCATGCTTCGATCGCTGTGCCGACGCTGTGCCGACGCTCTAGATTTGATGAAGCCGCTGCAAAATGCAAGGCGCGAAGCCCGGCGAAGATTCCACGCAATCAACTGTTGGAGAATCCATGGCCTGAGCACAACTGCGTCTCGGACACTGTCACGGAGCATTAGATCAGGCGGCACAATGCTGCCGGTCGATCCGGGTCCGCATAGTTCATAGAACGTGGTACACTTCGCTGCTCGTAGGGCTGATGCTATGAACTCTCGAGGAAGTAAAATTCATGAACAAGCAAGCAACGCACGCTTTGCGGCACCAGCTTTTGGCGACGGAGGTGTGTGCTCTTGTCGCAGCTGGCCATCCCCTGGTGAATAACGGAAAGCCTAATCTATGTACGTATCACACAAGCTTTGTGGGTGTCCCCCTGTCTAACTCGACTTCGAGAACCTCAAGCTGAACTTCATTCAGTGAGCAGCGCTGAGCACTGGATCCTGTTTTCTGGACAAACCAATTTAGACCTGAGCTTGTATATCATGCAATCAACACTGCAATACTGTCCGAAATCTGTCTCCTTGGACGCAGATCTCGAGATGGCATCGAGAGCTTGACGCTAAGAAGATCCATTCCCACATCTCTCCATCTTTCGTTCCCGTCTGTTCCCTATATGTGCCCTCAAAAGACAAACGCGATGGAGTCCCACACACCTCTCGGTGCTCCGCAGCTCCTCCATCCACTCGTTCTTTGCTTGAGCTGAGAATCGTGTCCCCTCGCCATGGACGGCAATTGTGATCTGAGACTTGTGAGTCCGATGCACACCTGACTGATATGGTTCTCATTGGTCAAGACCCCTCCAAGTTCCTCCAACCGCATCCTCGCCTATCTTGACAGGGATTTACCTCCACTACCACCAGCTCAAGACGCAGTTGCTGCTGCTGCTGATTCCCCCCCACGCTCTGTCAAAGTCCGAGGTTACAATCAAACTTCTGGTCCTCCACTCAGGAGCACCTTCCCTGTTATCGCTCCAGGGCCACGTTCATCGTCTCTCCCTTCCGGCTCACGAAATGGTCTCGTTGGACCACCCAAGCGTCTGCGCCCCACCAAGCCGAACCTGCGCATCGATCTCACGCAGTCTCTGTTTCGTCCCATCGTCGCCAGCCCACTCATCGGGGAGGTATCACCGGTGTCGTCCCAATCTGACTGTTCGCACCTCAGCACCCCGATCCTCCCTCCGTCGGCCGCAATCTCTCTCGAGACACGATTGTCCCCGTCCAGCCCGCCCCGCCGCACAATCTCACTCTCCTCTATCATCCGCCACGTCCAGGACAAGTCGCGGCCCGGCAGCAGGATCTGCAAGCGGATGGGCCCCACCACGTCCACCCCCATCATATCGCGTGGGAGCGATCCTCCCGAGGGATTCAGGTCACCATCGAGCGTGACGTGTATGTCACCGTTTCGAGTCCGCCGTGCTCCGGTTGCACCAGCGATGAGATGGTGTCCCGCTTGTGCCCAGATGCCGTGTTCTGCGAATCACCCGTCGCGGGATCCGCCGGGAAAGTGGACGACGGTGCCAGTTTCGCTGACGAAGACGACGACGACGGCTTTGTCTTCTATCGTCCGGTCATATCGACACCGCGGCGGCTGCGGCTGCCCTCATCCCGGGCAGAGCTTGTGGCCCGTTCTGACAGTGCTGATTTGGAAATCAGGAGGGTGACCATTGATGGGCGTCTTCGGGCTGCCTCTGATTCGGTTGTGTCAAAGACTCCATCCCGGATTCAACTGCCACTGCGGAGGAAGCGTTACACTTGCAACAGACCGCAGAGCCAACTTGTTCCCGCCGGACCTCGGTCTTTGGGGAGATGATCACCGTGCACAGGAGTTGGTGGATGATGTTTTGGGTATCCTATTTATTCTAGTACAGCCCTAATCGATTGCTTTCGCAAGTTGTCATTTCGAAAATCATGGACACAAGCAGTCACAAACGCGTGAGGCGTAATATGAGACACGTGATTTTCACGTGCAGATGAACGGTCCTTTCTTCTGTGCCACTTACCCGACCGCGCTCAGCTGAGCCGTATTATTTCACGACCAAGCTCAATCACCCAAATTGCTCAGCTCCCCGACAATCATCTTTTGCAGACCAGCTTACCCTCTCCAGAGATAGCTAAGGACCACAGCCGAGACCGCTAATGCGTCTAGACCAATGCCCGTGATGGGCGTGGAGAGTCTCCAGAACCTGACGGCCGGCTTTGCTCGGGATATTACGGGGCCGTGGCGCTCTAGGTAGAGCTGGACTCTCGTGATCGCGATCTGCCTCCATAAAAACAGGCTCTGAATACCACTCTGCCTCCATCCACAACCTACTTCAACCGAGTGTCGCTCAGTACAACACCCCCACTCAAGACAAAACCACCACCTCGACTCTCATGTTTAATCTGATCATTGCACGCCGTAATGTGAGTGCTTCTGTTTTCATGGTTGGTCCAGATGCTGACACAGCGCCTTCTTTCGCAGACGCTTCTCGCGTGGGCTTCGATAGAAGCCGGGTTTGCTATTTATGTCTGGAACGCATACCGAACACCATCGTGCGTCTCGCGTTTCGTTTCGTTTCGTCGTAACAGGCCTGACCTGTTTCGTGCAGTGCGACAATGATATCTGCGTCCCGCACAAGAGCGGGACTGAAAGCCTAGTCTACACGTTAATCACCATCTTCAAGATGTATACCTGACACTTTGCTGAATGTAACATACTTGCCCCCAAAGATGACCACCTTCACAAATCAATTTCACAAACAGACGATATCAACGGGAGAGGTGATGCCGGGGACGATGCCTCCGGGGTATGTATCCAGATTGGTCGTAAGAACTAACAATTACATGGCTGTAAGTACGTACAATATTTAAGACAAAATATACAATTCCGCAAATGACATTCACGGCGGCGTCCTCAGCCGCGATGCGGGCTTGCCGCTACGAGCAGCCGGACCGGATGCCGACGAATACGGGGGCGGCAGCGGCGAGTGGATGGACGACTGGGCGTAGGTCTTCCGATACGGGGTCACCACAGACGAGGTGAGCTCGACACCCTGCAGGTCGTCGTCCGCTCCATTGGCAAGTGCCGAATAGGGGGTCACTGTCGGCCCAGTGCGAGACCGACGTCGATAGAGCAAAGCAATGACGGCCGCAGCAGCAACGCTGACAGAAACAACGACACATACAATCACCACTGTCCTGTTGTAAGACCGGGGCTTGCTGGTCGCTGGAGCCGCCGAAGCGCTGGGAGTGGCTGTGATTCGGGGAACAGCGGCGGCTGCGAGGACGTCGGACACGGCAAACAGCTGCCCCCAGGGTCCCATTCCAAAAGGACCGAGCACAGCCACAGAGTGCATCGAAGCAGTCGGCGTGGTCACAAAGTCCCCGTCGCTGCTGAAGTTCTGGCCGCATGACCAGGACGCGTTCGTGTACAGTGAATCGCTGATGCTGTCCGCGTACACAAGCTGGAAGCTCGCAGCAAAGCCTGCGGCGTTGATAGTGGTGCCAATCTGGGGGTAATTATCCACAATCACGTCCAGGACAACTGTCGACGAGTTGAGCGGGCTTTTCACCGCTTGAGCGTACTCCAGGACTGCAAAAGCGCCAGCGAGGTTTGGTTTACAGAGCTGGGATTGAACGGCGACGCAGCGACGAAGATGCCGTTCACATAGAACGAGAATGCGTTGTCGCTCGCAATCAGGCCCCGCAAGAGTTGAGGTGTCTTCCCATCGGGGCTGACGAACTCCTGCGAAACCCGGCCGTCCCTGAATCGGCGTTATTTCAGCACCTGCCGTCGTCCACAACCAAGAGCTGCCAGCCCACGGAGGGTCGGAGGATTCTACGGGAGAAACGTCCCTCAAGAAGGGTGCGGTAATCACAGCCGGCAGGAGATTTGTGTTCACGGCGGCAGGGAAGCCGATCTGCACGTTTGAGGTCGCGAGCCAGCTGGCGTCTGACACGGCTGTGCTGGACAGACCTGCCCCAGCATATGAGACCTGGATCGAGGCGACGAATCCCGGCCGATCTGCAGCAGAGTAATGTGCATTCTGGATCAACACAGAGACGACGTTGATGCTCGCATTGAGTGCAGCTCGCACGACAGTGAATTCCTCCGTGGTGTTCGGAAGCAGCTGGCCGATGGGTTGGTCGTTGATCCACAGTGTCGCAGCGCCGACGGCGACAGCTCCGAAAGTTATTGTCGCGTTGGTTGCAAGTAGAGCGGAGGGCGAGACCAGTTGTTTGGTGAATGCGACGGTATGGGCGCTGGTATTGGCTGTGCCGTTCGTCCCGGGCGCCCAAATCCACGAGGCTGATGCCAGCGAAGGCGCGGCTCTCCTAGATCGCGAGTCCTCGAATCGTGTTACGAGCTGGGCTCGGACACCTGGGGAGCAGCTGAGCGCCCGGACGAGGAAGGTATGGGTGTTCGGAAGGGGTCACCGTTGGAGAAGATCAGGGAAGAAAGCAGTTCAAGAGGGTGATAGTGAGCTATTTTCGGCATTCACAGGCGGAAGCGCTTGTAAATTGAATCTCACCCACCTGGACGCATACACTGGAACATCGACGATCCCTTTCTCCCAGCGTCCCGATACCAGCGCAAGTGAGCAGTCAAGGCTATCGACCTCCCATCTTTTGGTTGACGGAACCGGGATGCCAACATTGCCAAGTGGCTGTAAGCGAGATCGACGCGGTATGGGGCAATCATCTCTGTCGCATTGTGACAAGAAGCATTGAGCTTGAGGCTTGCACAGGCTTTGAGCCTTGGAGAGCCTTAGACTTTGAGATGCTAGCCTAGGCCATAATCTCACCTAGAAGAAATCGCATACAAAGAAGAAGTCGAGTGATGTGTGAGCATACACAGCGCAACAGCGCAAGACGCGTATCTCCGAGTCGATCGGGAGGGGCTCGGAGCGGACTGTGCCTCTGGACTCACGGCATTCCTGATGATGACTCATAGTGGAGGCGCTGACTTGGTGCCATTCGGTAGTCGTCGGGACAGTCGATGGTATATGTATGATGGGATGTGGATGAACAGATGCGGAGGAGTTTATGTCGGCATCAGCGCATCACTTCGACATTCAAATCAATGTACGTAAGCACACATGCAGCACAGCACACGGAGCATCTTCGTTCTCCCGCCACCTGCCTCAGTGCAGCCCTGTATCTACTCCACTTGTCTTCTAAACCGGACTTAAGGGCCTTTTTCGAAAATCCCATGTGTGTTCGCCACAGCCTCGACTCGTGTTGGGGCTCAGAGGCAAGCGACCCTCGGGCTTTTTCGGTGTCATCAGCCTGATCTTGAATATTCTCATGCAACCGGACTTCGCACGATCTTCGGAATTTCGTCGCGTAACGGGAAAAGGAATTTGTGGGTTGAAGCTTGAATACAGTCTGTAACTGAGATTGGGGGTGCATTGTGCATATCGCTCCTATATTCTCCCTGCACAGCTCAGTGGGGCGAGAAGTGCATGGTCTCGAGTGGGCGACCATCCGATGGGTGTCACCAGCTAGCAACGGCTGAGCGGGCTGTCTTACTGTGCCGACACCTGTCATATAATGGAAACGGAGGACGCGAAATCAAGCCATATGGTCGCCCAGTGTTCAGCCTTTCCTTCGACTCTGTTCCACTCGCAAGGCGAGCTAATTTTTTAGTTTACTCTTCGCGGAAACTGCGGGCCACCTGGAAGGAGGATCTCCATGCTCAGTGACGCGTTCTCAGGTGCGAGGGTTCCCACTGCGTTCTACCTTATCGTGGTATCTATACGAGGAATAACTTAGGTCCACTTCTCATTATTTCCCTTGTTGCTCTCCTTTTCCCGTTCAATTCTTATAAATTGTAAGCCCGCGCTGGGACCACCTTCACTGGTCGTTGACAAAAGAGCTCAGAC